TGGTGGAGTTCAGAATGCTCTTTGATTGTAGGTTAACTATAAATCCCAGCAACTACAACTCCCAAATGACAAACTCAATCTCTCTCTCCTGGCCCTTCCACACAGCCATATAACCCAGAATATCAAGGCAGAAAATCCCATAATATCTGCTTTGAACTGGGTTATCTGAGTCCACACTCTTATATTCCAGTTCAAAGCAGATAATGTGGGGTTTTATTCAGCTGTGTCGAAGGGGCCTCTTTCTCTCTCTCTGTCTCTCTGTCTCTCTCTCTCTCTTTTCAAGGTACTGGAATGAATAATTACCTTTGTTTATAAGTTGAACGTTTGCACCTGATGCTCAAAACCAACCCTGCCATTCCATCATAGAATCCAAATACATATGTAAATCACGTCAAGAAATAATAAAGTGAAGTGTTCATGTAATTTCCATCCAGCTATTTCAGCATTGTTATACATCGTTCAGGCTAACCCTGGCTGACAAGCAAAGTTTGTCTAATGCACAATAGCTTCTCCTAATTTAATACTGGCACGATTGTGCTTTTATGCACACATTAGTCTGCTGCCCGAGCCTGAAAGAACAGTAATCTATTATTCTCTCCAAACAAGAGAGCAGTATAACTTTGCACTCGACAGAGCAATTAATAAAGTGGGGTTTTAGGGGGTGGGCAGGAAAAAAGATTTGATAAAAGCAATTTATATTATGCGCACACAGTATTACAAGTATTCAGCACTCAGTCTTATTATATCTGGCTTTGCTGTTTATAAGGTTATCAGGGTGCATCTGCACTGTGGAATGGATACAGTTTGATGCCACTTTGACTGCCATGGCTCAGTGCTATGAAATCCGGGCATTCGTAGTTTGGTGAGGTGCCAGTGGTCTTTGTCAAAGGTTAAAGACTCCCATGATTTCATAGCATTGAACCATACCAATTAAAGTAGTCAAACTGCATTAATTCTATAATCTACATGCACCTTCAGGCTCAGCCCCTTTGCTGGGGAGAGCAAGAATATATTATAGTTTGACTCTATGTGAACTGCCATGGTTCTGAAATAGAGCAATTTATAACGACTACAGATAGTGAGATTGGAGCCACGGATAGTGAAACCTGAAGTACAGATACTGAGTCTTGATACATGGTTACTGGCTGCAGGCCACCCTTTAGGTCCATGCGTCTTGCGAGACAAAGAAGCTGAACCAATGTTCCCAAATGAATCTCACCAAGTTGAAGAAGAAGCGAAGAAGGTATTTATTCAAGCCAGCTGAAGTGATGCCAGCTTGTGGTAATCTGCCAAAGAAAGCTGAGATCCCATAACATTGGAAAAACAGACATTTTTATCCTGTAGTTCTTTGAAATTCCCGCTCCCAACCCAACTGGAGTCGGCTTTGCCGTGATTGGCTAAGTCCCATTGACGTCATGATCAGTTGGGCGGGATTCCCTGGTGAGGTGGGACTGTGGCATCTGCCAGCCAATAGGAGAGTGTTCCCCGCTTCCAATACAGATTTCCACTGTCCAATCGCTGATAGAGGTCAGGATAGAAACTTCAGACAAAGAAGACATCGTTTTTTGATTGGATTGCATTGTTCCAACTCCGGGACAAACAAAGCAGGACCCTCCGGTCCCATGAGTTCTATTATTGTGACGATTGTCTTTATGAGCCTCGACCTCATGGGTCTGGTGACTCTGAACCAGTATCCATTATGATACAAAGCAGCATATTGTCCATAGTGATGGGATTATGGGATCTCTTGCTAGGAAAAGGCGAAATAGCATTGTGGAAAGTGGGGCAAGTCAACATCAGGGAAGAAAATGCCAGGTGAGAAATGTCTTTTCATATGTCCATGTGGTTGTAGAAAGAACGGATGGTCAGACTCCAAGGACTGTTGTCTTTTGCACAGCCAATGATGGGTGATCGAGTCCTTTGTAAGTAGGTGATGACCAGAAAACTGCTAGAAGGAATTCCCATGTCAGGAGTGCTGACGAAAAGGTCACCAAAATCGTGCTAAGTGGCTTAGTTAATAAAATATAAAATATTAAACAAAAACACACGAGAAACCTGCAGATATCAAGGGGACCCAACGCTTCCAATGTCCTGGTATCTGGGGGGTGAGAGAGGCACATACACAAGGGATCAGTGGATACCGAGGGGGACCCAACGTTTCCAGAGGCCCTCGGTATCGACAGGGGCGGAGGTTGCCAAAAGGAGTTTGGAGAGACTGGAGGGTGTTAGTATGGGGAAAAGGGAGAAAATTAACCCCATTGCAAGGGTCATGGAGGGCCGTGGGGGCTGAGAGGGCCAAGTGGCCCAGGTGGCCATTGGGCCAGCTGCAGAGGGCGAAAACTGGAGAAAAAGACTCAGTAGATGAAAGGAGAGTCAAAGAGACAAAAGTAGAGTATAACACATCTAGGTATAGGTTTATTAAGAGTTGGGGGATTATATAACTGGCAAAAAGGGAAAGACTGTCTCAAAAAGTATCCCGGGTGCTGGTAGCTGCCACACCTAAATACTGTCAGGTCATTAAATGCTAATTAAGGTGGCCAATTGAAACATTCACACCTAGCTCCAACGGAAAAGAGTTCTTTCTCCCACCCTGGACATTATCCCATATATATATATACCCCATTTTCCTAGTTTCCAACAGACCTCACAACCTCTGAGGATGCCTGCCATAGATGCAGGTGAAACATCAGGAGATAATGCTTCTGGAACATGGCCATATAGCCCGAAAAACCTACAACAACCCAGTGATTCCAGCCATTTATTTATTTATTTCGTATCAAAAGTTTGCATAAATTAGTGTAAAACTGATAAAAATAGAAGGAGCGCAGGCGGCTAAATATCCTTTGACCAAAAACGGGCAACAGCAACGGCATTGTCTGTAGCCTCCAACAACTCTTCCTCTGTGCATGAGGCAGGGCATAGTGGACAAGCATACAGATGCGGAGTTATCAGTTCTGCTCCACAGTCACACAAGCTGTGGGATTCTTTTAGGTACTGCCATTTCGCCAGGTTGTCTTTTGATCGGCCCACTTCACTTCTGAGTCTGTTCAGGTTCCAGCCATGAAAGCCTTCGACAATACCAAGAAATGCATTGTCGAAGGCTTTCATGGCCGGAATCACTGGGTTGTTGTAGGTTTTTTCGGGCTATATGGCCATGGTCTAGAGGCATTTTCTCCTGATGTTTCGCCTGCATCTATGGCAAGCATCCTCAGAGGTAGTGAGGTCCATTGGAACTAGCAAAATAGGTTTATATACCTGTGGAATGACCGGGGTGGGGCAAAGAACTCTTGTCTGTTGGAGCTAGGTGTGAATGTTTCAACTGACCACGGTTGGAACTAACATAATAGGTTTATATATCTGTGGAATGACCACTGTGGAATGATCCTGTGGAATGACCAGGGTGGGGCAAAGAACTCTTGTCTGTTGGAGCTAGGTGTGAATGTTTCAACTGACCACAGATATATAAACCTATTGTGCTGGTACAGCTGTACCAGGAGCTCCTATTTTGTTTGTTTTGCAGTTAATGTTTGTTTGCAATCCCAGGCTTGGGATTTTGCAGCAGGGTGGCTTCCTGTTATAGGTTGCAATCATAGGGTAAGCCACCTGCCAATTATAGTTAGGTTCTCTGGTCCCGCCCCTTTTTGAGTTTTTGGAGGGAAGGGGCCATTTTTCAGTCAGTCACACAAGGAAGCCAGTCTATAGGACGCAGATCAGCTAGTCCCGTAGGAAAGGCTTCATTCCTCAAAACCTTCCAGGGAAATAGAAACAGCCATCCGGGGTCCATCCAGTGACCATCCAAGGGTCATCCAGTGACCATCCAGTTCCAGGGATACGGAAGGAAAAGGTCCCAAAGGCTCTGGCTGAGAGCTCACAGCCTCACAGCACCAGAGGGGAAAACAGACCTGAAGTTCCCACTAGACAGCATCGTAGAACCACAGAACTTCAGCTGCTATATCTTCAAGCCTCAGCCAGTAAGGTCTGCTCGATACTCAGACGCATGTGGATTTCGGTAGCAGCACCCACGCCGACTAGGCATAGATAGAAAGTGGCCTGGGAGGGATTATAAAGAGTTCTTCGTTATGCTGAGATAGTACAGTTAAACCAAGTTAGTGCCAGTCTCTTAAAGACTAGAATACTAAAGCCTTGAAGTTTTGTTTGAAGATTTGTTCCTTAATAAAGACTTTGTTGTACTTTTAAAGACTCTAAAGCCCATTACTTCTGGAAGTCTCTAACAATCTCTCTTCGGGCACCCCGGCTTCCCACTGGGTTTAAAGTGTGCGTTCTATAGAATAAAGACATTTTGTTTGGACACTTCTGAGTCTGTTCAGGTTTCAGCCATGAAAGCCTTCGACAATACCAAGAAATGTATTGTCAACAGCTTTCATGGCCGGACTCACTGGGTTGTTGTAGGTTTTTTCGGGCTGTATGGCCATGGTCTAGAGGCATTTTCTCCTGACGTTTCGCCTGCATCTATGGCAAGCATCCTCAGAGGTAGTGAGGTCTATTGGAAGTAGCGAAATAGGTTTATATATCTGTGGAATGACCAGGGTGGGGCAAAGAACTCTTATCTGTTGGAGCTAGGTGTGAATGTTTCAACTGACCAGATATATAAACCTATTTTCCAAGTTCCAATAGACCTCACTACCTCTGGGAATGCTTGCCATTGATGCAGGCAAAACGTCAGGAGAAAATGCCTCTAGAACATGGCCATATAGCCCGAGAAAACCTATAACAACCCAATACCAAGAAACTTCTGTTTTTTGTAAACATTTCCCATTTCCCTCGCTGTTATGAGCTCCACCGCCGCTAGATGGCGCACGAGTGCTGCTCCTTGCTGTGCCCTCAGAACTGAATCGAAAGCGAACCTCGGGCAACTTCTCCCAGTCTAGCTCCCCTCTCGCCGTCATTCATTGGCTGTAGCTACGCGCGCGCTGCCGGGCAGGACAGCCAATGGCGATGGAGTTCGTTCCGCGGAGCCAATGGGGATGGCGTTCCTTGAAGGGAGGCGTGACTCTGGTGTCATGGCGGCCTCCTGCGCGCGCTGCCTTCGGTGGCAGGAGTGGAGCTCGGTCTCCCGTGGACGCAGCGCCATGAGGCCTTGGCTGAGGGCCCCAGGAGGCCTGCGGCTGGCCCGGGGCCTGTGGAGCGCGGCTGGGGCGGCCCACACGGTCTCTGTGGAAGTGGGGAGCAGGTAAATGGCGCTGCGGTGTTCGTGGGGCCTTGTTCAAGGCCTTTTCACCGCAATGGCTTATGGGAGTTGTAGTCTTTTCCAGGCCTTCAGCCGCCTCTGCCAAAGAGCGCTGCTGCCTCGCCAAACTACAACTCCCATGATTCCCATTGCAAGGAGCCAAGGCAGGGGAAAATGTGCGCAAACTCTACAGTTCATAGAATCACAGAGTTGGAAGAGACCCCATGGGCCATCCAGTCCAACCCCCTGCCAAGAAGCAGGAATATTGCATTCAAAGCACCTCCGACAGATGGCCATCTAGCCTCTGTTTAAAAACCTCCAAAGAAGGAGCCTCCACCACACTCCGGGGCAGAGAGTTCCACTGCTGAACAGCTCTCAGAGTCAGGAATCATAGAATCAAAGAGTTGGAAGAGACCTCATGGGCCATCCAGTCCAACCCCCTGCCAAGAAGCAGGAATATTGCATTCAAATCCCCCTGACAGATGGCCATCCAGCCTCTGTTTATAAGCCTCCAAAGAAGGAGCCTCCACCACACTCCGGGGCAGAGAGTTCCACTTCTGAACAGCTCTCAGAGTCAGGAATCATAGAATCAAAGAGTTGGAAGAGACCTCATGGGCCATCCAGTCCAACCCCCTGCCAAGAAGCAGGAATATTGCATTCAAATCACCCCTGACAGATGGCCATCCAGCCTCTGTTTAAAAGCCTCCAAAGAAGGAGCCTCCACCACACTCCAGGGGCAGAGAGTTCCACTGCTGAACGGCTCTCACAGTCAGGAAGTCATAGAATCAAGAGTTGGAAGAGACCTCATGGGCCATCCAGTCCAACCCCCTGCCAAGAAGCAGGAATATTGCATTCAAATCACCCCTGACAGATGGCCATCCAGCCTCTGTTTAAAAGCCTCCAAAGAAGGAGCCTCCACCACACTCCGGGGCAGAGAGTTCCACTGCTGAACAGCTCTCACAGTCAGGAAGTTCTTCCTCATGTTCAGGTGGAATCTCCTCTCTTGTAGTTTGAAGCCATTGTTCCGCGTCCTAGTCTCCAAGGAAGCAGAAAACAAGCTTGCCCCCTCCTCCCAATGACTTCTCTAAACACTTATCCCTAGATCACAGGGGGTCTCTTACTAAAGGACTATGATACTGTCTTCTCGACTAAAAGAAGCAATAGTCGTGCCCTGGCTCTATACCAGTGGTTCTCAACCTGGGGTCCCCAGAAGTTTTTGGCCTTCAACTCCCAGAAATCCTAACAGCTGGTAAACTGACTGGGATTTCTGGGAGTTGTAGACCAAAAACATCTGGGGACCCCAGGTTGAGAACCACTGCTATACCTTCTGGATCTCAGCCATTTGTGCCATCTGCTATACAGCCAACAATCAATATAAGACAGGCATGGGCAAACTTTGGCCCTCCAGGTGTTTTGTACTTCTACTTCCTGACTGTTAGGAATTGTGCAAGTTGAAGTCCAAAACACCCAGAGAGTCTGAGTTTGCCCATACCTGACATAAATGAACAGAGTTACAGAAAGAAACAGTCCAACTCAGGTCTTGCTGACAGTGAAATGTAGTTTCTTTGCGTCATTTCATCTATAATGATAGTTATAATAATTATAATAAACGGAGCCCCCGGTGGCGCAGTGGGTTAAAGCACTGTGCCGGCAGGACTGAAGACCGACAGGTTGCATGTTCAAATCCGGGGAGAGGTGGATGAGCTCAATCTATCAGCTCCAGCTCCTCATGCGGGGACATGGGAGAAGCCTCCCACAAGGATGATAAAACATCAAAATCATGCGGGCGTCCCCTGGGCAACGTCCTTGCAGGCGGCCAATTCTCTCACACCAGAAGCAACTTGCAGTTTCTCAGGTTGCTCCTGACACGACAAAAAATAAAATTATAATAAACTTTATTTGTACCCTGCCAATGAGGACTCGGAGCGGCTCACAAGCCCAAACAGAAAATTACAATAAAATAAAACCGAAAACGCAAACACAAACAACATAATTATAACATTACATGTAATTATGTAGTTGAAGTTAAAACGCATTAAAATCATTCATAGCAAAATGTAAATTTAAATTCATAGTTTAAAATTGGGTAGGTTCCCCTGTCTGAACAGGCCCTGGAAGTGCATTGCAAAATTGCCCTCCAAAATCATAGAACTGGAAGAGACCTCAAGGAAAAGAAGAACTTTATTTTTATACCCCGCCTCCATCTCCCCAAGGGGACTCAGGGCAGCTTACATGGAGCCAAGCCCAAGGCAACATACAATTAAAAACAAAAATAACATATTAAAATAACATAAAAACAGCATAAACAATAATAAACATAAGTAGCAACAGACTCATGGGGGGGGGAGCAATATGCAAAACGAGTTAAAGGATAGGCTGGTCAATAAGGTGGATAGAACGTATAGTAGCATAGGAATCGAGCCATTAAACAGGATCATTTCAGCTTAACTTAGAAATGTAATAATCAGATATAGGAATTTGAATTCAGGTCTTGACATGCCATCTATCCTTTGTTTAAAAACCTCCAAATAAAGAGGTTTTAAAACATACATTGTGAAGTAGTCATTAAAATAAAACATTTCAAAGTAGCTAGATTACTGTCCTTTGTCTCCTGTGAATTTTGGAAGGGCCCCCCCCCCCCCCCCCCGTTTCAGGAGCGACTTCCATTTCAAGAGAAACTGCAAGACACTTCTGGTGTACAGAGTGGGTATATCTAAGAATAGGTGACAAAATGACTAAACTGAGGTTTCAGTCATATCATGAGGCAACATGCTGCTTTGGAAGCAACAGAAATGTCGGGAAAAGCTAAATGCATTAGGAAAAGAGAAGGCTACATTACAAGTGAAATGACTCAAAGAAGCTACATTTCTCAGTCTGCAAGACCTGAGTTGGGCTATTCATAACAAGGTCTCTTTGTGGTTTCTCATTCAATCACGGCCATCTCGATCAATAAGAACATGTATTTCCAGATGGAATTGCTAGTACTACTTAATTTATTTGGACAACTTTATTTAGGTACCAGGTCAGTTTTGTTTGGTAGCAAAGGAACTTATTTCTTTCCCTGTAAGAAAAAAAAGCAGAAGAAGCAGTAGAAAAATATGGAAAGCTTACAGATTGAAGACATTGCCATTTTGAAAGTGTGTAAAATTTTGTGAGCAACCAGCGCATACCTGTTTCTTCTCCCTGGAACTTCCTTCTCAATGCCATTTTCTAGCTTTCTTCTGAAACTCCCATATGATCTTGCCGTTCATCTGTAAATAACTATATAATATAGTATATAATATGCCCATGGCACATAAGTTACTTTTCCCCTTCTTTTCCAGAAAATTGGAAATCTCTTCTGGAAAACTAGCCAGATTTGCTGATGGATCTGCTGTAGTGCAGGTAGGAAGCATTCGTTAAGTCATTATTTTCCTATTGCAGAATGTGTGTTAAGAGATGCAAAACAGTTGTAAAACAGAGAGAAACCCATTAGTATTGTTAATCTTTATTTTTCTACTTTCTTTTTCAAATATTTTATTTCAAAAATAAAGTTAGGTGACACATCAGTGATGGTGACAGCAGTCAGCAAAACGAAGCCTTCTCCATCTCAGTTCATGCCTTTGGTGGTAAGTATTGATAGTGAATAGTACTGAAATGCCACATATCGTACATGTGATTAAATAAGCTGATTCTAATGCAAACTAGTTAGACATTTTCTATATTTGGAAAACTATAATCCTTTTAAGCTAACAAGATAAACTTGCATCTTAACTCTTAATTTGTTACAGTAGCCTGTAATTTGTTTTAAAATTAAATCATAATGTCTGTTGATACATAAGGTTGATTATCGTCAAAAAGCCGCAGCAGCTGGAAGAATTCCTACCAACTATTTAAGAAGAGAACTGGGTTCTACAGACAAGGAAATTCTTACCAGTCGAGTAATAGGTATGTGCTATAACTATAACTCCTATAAATCAAAGTGAATTTTCCCCAAAGCCCTCCAGTATTTTTTGTTGGTCATGGGAGTTTTGTGTGTCAAGTTAGGTCTAGGACCATCATTGGTGGGGTCCAGAATGCTCTTTGATTGCAGGTAAACTATACATCCCAGTATGAACAATGGCTATAAATCAAGGTGAATCCCCCTCAACCTCTCTAGTCTTTTTCTTAGGTCATGGGGGTTCTGTGTGCCACATGTGGTCCAGGTCCATTGTCAGTGAGGGGGTCACAGTTCTCTGACTTGATGCAGGGTGAACTACAACTTCCATAATGTGGAGTCAATCCCCCAGACTCCTCCAGTATGTTTAGTTGCTGCTCAGTTCCTCTCTCTTTGTTATGCAGACAGAGTTGAAAAGAGTAGGAAAGGGGTTTATTTATTTATTATTATTTATTTCAAAGTTTTATATACCGAGCTTCTCACCTCATAAGAGGGACTCAGCCCGGTTTAGGGAGAGGCAGTGGGCAGGGTAATGCAAATTCCACACCAGTGGAGAGAGAAAGAAACACCAGGATGCCTGGCTGTTTTGAAGGAAGCACTTCAACTCTAGGATGAAATGGTCCCCTAATAAAAACATTCCTTGAGTGGTGGGTGTAGTGTTTGGGGAGGACATTGGCAGGGTTTGGGCTACATGTTCATGGTGCTCACCATAACCTAAATTGTCATTGGAGGGAGTGCTTTGTGGCTCCTCAGCACTGTGAGTTATAGCTGTTCGCAGGCTGTCTGTATAAGTGGACACCTCTGCCACATACACACAAACATATTTTCATTTTTATTGTGTGTATTGATAGATTAAATCTATTTCTAATTTTTCATGAGAGATTCAAGTTACTTATTCTATTTTACAGATCGTTCAATTAGACCTCTCTTCCCAGCAGGATACTATTATGATACACAGGTAAGTTAATTCGCCGACTTGTTATTTTTAATCTAATTTTAGTGAGCTGCTGATACTATGTTGTTATTAAAGGCCTGCTTTGTACACTACTTAAATATTGTAGGTAGTATCGATCTGTTGATAAAATTTGACCTTTTTATGAGAGATCATGCTGTTGAAGTTGTCAGTTGTCATTACGTTTGGATGTGTAGGTATAATAACAATAGGTTCACATTGTAGTTTTACTTACTGTTGTTTGTTGAGGGATTCAAAAAGATTTAGTGGAAATTATTATCCTCATTTTAAAACAAATTAAGTGTAACAAATACTATTGATACTAAGGCAACCAAACATTAGCAGCATATTAAAAGTAAACAGCAATAATAAAATTAACAATATATTATTCTACGAGGCAGCGAAATAAGGGTAATAATAGAGCAACAAGGTGATTGTAAATATTAAATCAAGTGGTTTTCTATGAGTAAGAAGGGGTATTCTGTAACATTTGTGCCAGAAACTCAAAAGACTGTTGATATATTTCATTTAGAATGGTCTCGTATTTGGCAGATACATATTTATTTATTTATTTATTTATTTGCAGTATTTATATTCTGCCCTTCTCACCCCGTAGGGGACACAGGGCGGATTGCAATGCACATGATACATGGCAAACATTCAATGACAATTAGACATACGACATATATAGACAGACACATTTAATATTCTAGCTTTCCGGCTTCATGATGGTATGCTCGATTCCGGCCACAGGGGAAACCGCTGCTTCACCATCCATTTGTGACATCAAGTAATTTGATAGAGTACTTCCTCATTCTTCTGCATGCTGCTGGAAGGTTTTATGGCATCGTAAATTAGCCTCCCCACATAAAGCGTTACCTAAATTTCCTACTTGGCAGATGCAACTGTCTTTCGTGCTGCAAAGGTCAACAGCAAGCTAGACTAATGGCCGGAAGCTCACTCCGACCCAGGCTGGTTTCGAACTCATGACCTCTCAGTCAGTAGTGATTTAATGCAGTTGGCTATCAGCTAGCTGTGGCACAGCACAGTCAAATAAAAGAATGTACAGGTGTCATTAAAGTCATTAACATTTCAGAATTGTTTGTGTAATTATGGCAACTATGTCTCATCCCTCTTTTTCCTTATTCTGTTTTTTTTTTCCACCAGATACTTTGTAACCTTTTAGCTGTAGATGGTGTCAATGATCCTGAGGTTTTGGCAATCAATGGAGGTAATACATTTTTGTGAATTATTCTCTCTCCTTAGCCCAGAATATGCAATGTTACTGATTTAGTGAAACCATTACAAATGAAAAATCTGGTTACTTTCAGCTTCTGCAGCTCTTACGTTGTCGGATATTCCATGGAATGGTCCCATTGGTGAGTAAAGATAACATGATATATATATTTTGAACCAGGTTTGTTTTACTAAAGTTTTAAGTGTATAACTCTCCAATTTATGTTCCATAATAGTTAGAATTCTTTAAAAAATAATTAATGTTTATCTCCCAGAATGATTGCTAAATAATAAATGTTGAAAGCACTGATACTGTATATACTTGAGTATAAGCCGACCCGCATATAAGCTGAGGCACCTAATTTTACCAGAAAAAACTGGGAAAACATATTGACTCGAGTATAAGCCGAGGCTGGGAAATGCAGCACCTACTGGTCAATTTCAAAATAAAAATAGATACGAATAATATTGCATTTATTGAGGCATCAGTAGATTATGTTTACATAAAACTGTAATTTAAGATAAGACTGTCCAACTCTGATTAAACCATTATTCTAACCTTCTTCAATGTAAATGCTTACGTATCCTTCCAGTAATAATAAAAAGAATAAAATAATAAATGTAATAATAATCATAGTGTAAAAGAATAAAAGTAATAATACTAATAGAGTAAAATAATAAATGTAATAATAATAAATAGGGAAAATAATAATGTAGTAATAGCAATAATAGAGAAAAATAATAAATGTGATAATAATAATAGAGTAAAATAATAATAATAATAAAATAGAGTAAAATAATTAATAACTTTGACTCAAGTATAAGCCGAGGGGGGGCTTTTTCAGCCTTGAAAAAGGGCTGAAAACTTGGCTTATACTCAAGTATATACGGCAGGCATGGGCAAACTTCGGCCCTCCAGGTGTTTTGGACTTCAACTCCCTACCAGCAGTTAAGAATTGTGGGAGTTGAAGTCCAAAACACCCGGAGGGACAAAGTTTGCCCATAACTGATACATTGTATTTAAAATATATAAAAATTATCAGGAAAATACTGGAAACATAAAACTGTCTTAGGAACTCCCTGTAACTTCAAAAAATAATTTGCTATGAGAAAACTAAAGAAAGACAGAGAATTAGTTTCAGAACTACTTTTTAGGCTGCCCAATGTTTGGGTATGGAGCTGAGGAGAAGGCCGCCAAGTGCATTTCCTTTCCCATATTTTCTTTCATTTTAAAAATTTGAATGCTATAAGCTGCTTCCCTGTAGTATAAAATACTCTCACCTGTCTACCTCATTGTCACCTTGACATCTGTCACAAGATATGCTGTAGGAAGGCAGTAATTGAAATATGTCATCTTCATTTAGTTAGGTTGCTCCCCAAGTGCCATCCACATTTTACATGTAAACATTATAACACAAAAGGGGTGAAGTTGTGCCCTTTTGGGTTACCACCAGAATACAACTTGGTTCCATTTTGGTTATTGTCCCTTGCAAGAAAAGAAATATAAACAGATAACTCCTTGAATGCAGGTAGGTGCATCCAAACTCTTTCTAGAACAGTCTCATGGTAAAAGCAGAATCTCATGAACCTTTAGAGGCACATTCAAATTTCTAACCACATTGCTTTTTCACCATTAGAAGCGCATCTGAAAAATACTTGCGTGCACTCTGGAATGATTTTTTTTCCTACTTGTGAAAGGCTAACTGATGGAATATTTTAATTCATGGAGTATCTTCTTAGGTGCCGTGAGAGTAGGAATGATTGATGGAGAAGTTGTTGTCAATCCCACTCGAAAAGAAATGTCTTCCAGTACATTGGATTTAATAGTCTCTTCAGCCCCTCGTAGTCAAGTGGGTAAGTAATTAAAATACTGTTCTTTAATAATTAAGTGCTCATGAAATGGACTGAGATCATATAAGCAGTCTATTCAGTCCTAAATACACCTCTTGGTTTGTGTGTGTGTGTCAGGAGCAACTTGAGAAACTGCAAGTTGCTTCTGGTGTGAGAGAATTGGTCATCTGCAAGGACACTGCCCAGGGGATGCGCGGATGTTTTACCATCCTGTGGGAGGCTTCTCTCATATCTGTGCATGGGAAGCTGTTAGGAATTGTGGGAGTTGAAATCCAAAACACCTGGAGGACCCAAGTTTGCCCAAGCCTAATTTACAGTGTTTTGTGAAGACTGATGTGACTATTGGTATCTTTCTCTGTATATGAATCAACAGTGATGTTGGAAGCTGCAGCAGAGAATGTATTACAGCAGGACTTCTGCCATGCCATCAAAGTGGGTGTGAAGCACGGCCAGCAAATCATTCAAGGCATACAGCAATTGGCAAAAGAACAGGGTGTTGCCAAGAGAACCGTACAGAAGTTATTCACTGCTCCTGAGGAGACTGTGGAATGTGCAAAGCAGTAAGTGAGGGGGAAAAAAACATTTAAATGTATTAACTGAATAGAAGCAAACCTGAAATATTAAATGATACATATCTGCATCATCGCACAAACTTTAAAATACAGTTCCATCAAAACAATAATACTAAACAACACCTACAAACTATGAAGTTACTTACTTAGGCGATCCCTCGTTGTCCGAGCAGGATTGTCTTCCAAGATCGGTGTACTGGCAGTGGGTCCGTAGGTCCGTGGATCCCTGTTCTTGATCTGCATCTTCTCCCGCAGTGGGGGCATTGGTTTCCTGTTGAAGGCGGTCCCAGTCAGGGTTGGCTTGACACGCCTTCCTCTTGGCGCATTTCTCTCTTTCACCCTCCATTTGTGCCTCTTCAAATTCTACAGCACTGCTGGTCACAGCTGACCTCCAGCTGGAGCGCTCAAGGTCCAGGGCTTCCCAGTTCTCAGTGTTTATGCCAGAGTTTTTAAGGTTGGCTTTGAACAATCTTTAAATCTCTTTTCCTGCCCACCAACGAGAACATTTTCCATTCTTGAGTTCGGATTAGAGCAACTGCTTTGGGAGACGGTGTTCGGGCATCTGGACAACGTGGCCGGTCCAGCGGAGTTGATGGTGGAGGACCATCGCTTCAGTGCTGGTGGTCTTTACTTCTTCCATCACGCTGACATTTGTCCGCTTGTCTTCCCAAGAAATTTGCAGGATTTTTCAGAGGCAGCGCTGATGGAATCGTTCTAGGAATTGCATGTGATGTCTGTAGATAGTCCACGTCTCGCAGGTGTATAGCAGGGTTGGGAGGACAATAGCATTATAAACAAGCCCCTTTGTATCCCTACGGATGTCCCAGTCTTCAAACACTCTGCTTCATTCGGAAAAATGCTGCACTCACAGAGCTCAGGCGGTGTTGTATTTCAGTGTCAATGTTGACTTTTGTGGAGAGGTGGCTGCCAAGGTAGCGGAAATGGTCAAAGTTACATTATTGTAGATTTATGTTTCAATAACAATTTAAAAAAGAACTTGGTTCTTGAGAAATTAGTATTACATTTGATACTTTTTGCTAACTTAAATATAACTTGATAATTTCTTTGCCAACAGAAACTTCTTGCAAAGTAGTGCGGCTGTATGTTGTGGCTTGCAGTTCTGTCTTATCTCAGTTGGTGAATGGTCTTCAGAGCAATATGCTGTTGCTTCTAGTCTTGCCTGGGATGTGCCTCATTTGCACTGTGTAATTGCTTTGCATGTCATTCTCTCGGTTTCCGATATTTATTTTATTAAATGTCTATCCCTTCTTTCTGCCAAAATAGCCCAAGAGGCAATGACAGAATGCTGAATGATTGGAAGGAGGTTGAGAATGGAAAACCATTTGAGTGTGTAATGAAATAAGAGTATTATGAAGGAGGAGCCTATAGAGGCTGACGGGATATGGCTGTGCACGAGAACATTTTGTACTGTAGCGTGTAAATAAATAACCAGAGTGCAGTATTTTGGAACCGTTTTGAGCTTAATGTTGCACTTCTGTTCTTGTTAAAGTTGTTCATAGAATGAAGCAGTGAGGCAAATTTAAATTAGGAAGAAAATGGAAAACCCATCCTCCTACTACAGAGAGATCTTTCCTGTGTGTGGCACTGATAAGCATCAAGGTATTTCCATCTCCAGAGAGGTCTGACAAAATGATAGATCTGTCTACACAATGGAATTAATGCAGTTTGATACCACTTTGACTGCCATGGTTCAATCCTGGTGCCTGATCAAACCCCAGCTTTCATAATACCATAGCATTGAGCCATGACAATTAAAGTGGTATCAAACTGCATTAAGTATACAGTGCAGATGCAAAAAAAATGTCTTTTTACTGGATTGTAGCAATGTGTTACGGGGTAGTTTACTGCTACAAAATACAGTTATTTGCCATTTGTTTCTTATCCTGTCTTCCTTTGAAAATAGGAAACTGAACTACTTTTTAAAAAATTATCTTCCTTCTCTTTTCCCATTCAAGACTCGCATCAGAAAAAATCACTGCAGTATTTTCAGACTTCACTCATGATAAAGTGAGTACTTAGATTCAATTGGAATAATCTTTATGTTTTCTTCATTTGTCTTCAGCGTGTTTAAAGTGACAGGCATTGCCTCTGAGTATGTTCTTCTTGTGTGATTAACTATTTAGTAAGAATAGTACAGGGTGAGGCAGCATAACTTCCTTTTTTCAAAACTTAATAAAAACCCATTGTATGAATTAGAAAATGTTTTTTTATAATGTAGGTGCATACCTAAAGTTTTGTTTTACGTAGTTTATTTATTTATTTATTTACAGCTTTTATATTCCGCCTTCTCACCCCGCAGGGGACTCAGGGTGGCAAACATTCAATGCCAATTTTTGACATACAAATATATGCAGACATACACAGAGGCTATTTAACTTTTTTCTGGCCGCCAGGGGAGCTGTCACTTTCATCGTCCATCTGCGACACTGATGAAGCACTTCCGCATTCCCCGCATGCTTCCCCGCTGGAATGCTCCGCTGGAGTCTTCTTTATGGCCTCATAAATTAGTTAATTTAGCCTCCCCACACTTTAAGGTGGTACCTAATTTTCCTACTTGACAGATGCAACTGTCTTTCGGGTTGCAAAGGTCGACAACAGGCTACACACAATTGGTTGGAAACCCACTCCAACCCGGGCTGGCTTCGAACTCATGACCTTTTGGTCAGAGTGATGTTAATGCATCTGACACTCAGCCACCTGCGCCACAATCAAATTAGGTAGGTGATGTCCCCCATTCTCCATACACTGAGGGAATCGATTTCTGGCGTTTGTCATGACTCTTGCCAGCTTAGCAGGCATTATGTTGGCAATTTCTTCCTGGATATTGGTCTTCAAATCTTGTGGGGTCCTTGGACGGTTCACATAAACACGGGATTTCAAAAAAGCCCATAGAAAAAAATCACAAGGGACCAAATCTGGAGAGTGGGCCAACCACTCCAAATCCGCTTGAAAAGTAGGCCTCAACGGCAAAAGCACACTCCTCACTGTTTAAACGCATGATGGCAACTGAACTGTGTCAGGACAAAACTTCATACTCCCGCCTCTCGAACGAGACCACTAGCACTCTGCTACGTCTTCAACCGACTGAATGGTGCACATTTTTAAAAAGGAAGTTATGCTGCCTCACCTTGTATATCCCTCACCTCATGTCCTCAGTCAGCTGCTGAGGATTTGGAGCAGCCCCAATGCAGGGCACCAAATGTGGCAGTGAAGGCAGCAAGGCTACGGCTATCCTCCCAGTTTTCATGACATGACTTGGGTTGGAGAATATAATCTGTTTGCCTTTTCATTCCTTGTAGAATAACAATCAAGCAAGTTTCTTTATAGGTTATTCTTACAGCTGGGCAACAATGTCAGGAATACTTTCTTCTTAGTTGTAGGATAATGGAGTAATTAGGGAAGAAAATAATAACAGAGGAATTATTCAATTGTTGTAAAGTAATGCTGTAGAATAATCTGGCCGGGCTTCGCACAGCAGGCTAAACTCGTGTGCTGCAGAAAAATCCTGTCAATCAGAAGGTCAACAGAAAGGAGGAAACCATGAAAATGAACAAAATCTGGCTACCTGTATTAAAAAACTCTAAAATTACAACAGCAAAACAGCAGAGAGGAAACAACCAGGCACATCTTAACACCTCTCAACAAAAGATCCCCCCAGGCTCAGCCAGGCCTTTCAATGCTAATGAAGGTGGTCAGTTAAAACGTTCACACCTAGCTCCAGCAGAGAAGAGCTCTTTGCCCCACCCCAGTCATTCCACAGATATATAAACCAATTTTCCTAATTCCAACAGACCTCACTACCTCTGAGGATGCTTGCCATAGATGCAGGCGAAACGTCAGGAGAAAAGGCCTCTAGAACATGGCCATATAGCCCAAAAAAACCCACAAGAACCTGGAAGGTCAACAGTTTGAGGTTGGGGTTGAGCACCTTCTGTTAGCCCCAGCTCACTTGCCTACCGAGCATGTTGAAAGCAGAAATGCAAGTAGATAAAATAGGTGCTGCTTTTAGCGGGAAGGTAATAAAGGCAACCTTAAGGACATCGATCAGAAGAAAGTGGCCAGAGTTGAGCACAGCCTCCAAGATGCCGGAAATAAGATGGGAAAAACACTCTTTACCCCTGTTTTTGTTGTCTGTCCTGTTTGTATAATCAGCATTGAATTGTGTGTTCTGTGAAGCTGCTCTGAGTCCCCTTCACGGTGAGAAGGGTGGGGTATAAATACTGTAAATGGCAATAGTAAATTCTTTAAAATGAGGCACCTGGAGAAAGGCTTTCCTTCAGATGTTTGGGTATTTACATTTTCCTTCAGGTGTAGGATGTACAAAAGATTCTTCTTGCTAACATTTCAAAGTGATTGTAGAGCTCTAACAAAAGCTTTATTATGTTCTAGATATCAAGAGATGAAGCCATTAACAAAATCAGACTTGAAACAGAAGAGCAGCTGAAAGGTAGATATGAACATTGTTATAGTATGAAACATTGCACTTTTCTTCAACTATCTACTGTTCTAAATTGGGGTTGTTTGGGCTGGATAATAGCATGATAGTAGTCGGTGTTGTTTAGTGATTTCCAAGAAAAACTCAGATGGGTTTGCCTTAAGGTCGCCATATTAAAAACAACTTGAAGACAAACATGAGCAATAGTAATACTCTGACAGCTGGATTAGTTCTAACAGTGAGATTAATTCAGTGTCTTCTTTGTTAAGATTGCTAGTGCATATGTCTTACCTGATCTCCATTTAAAAAAACAAAACAAAATTGAACCCTACACATAGAAACTTAGCATCTCTGGAAGAGATTTAACATTCAGTTCTTCAACAAGAATTTTGATTGAATTTATAGTACGAGGAAGCTTGTAGTTAGTCAGAGGATATGTGATTTAAAGGCTATTTTAGTGTATTTATTCTATTTTAAATCTGTTTTTACTGCACTGTTAGTGTTTAATTGTTTTTTAATTTTTGTATTGCACTTTTTAAATGTGGCTAGTGTGGATTGTTAGCTGCTTTGCGTCCCCACAAGGAGAAAGGTGGGATATAAATAAATATAATAATAATAATAATTGTCATATGTGCCTCTACCTACAGTCTGAAGTGATAAACCATGTATCTCAGTGCGATTTAAGCCTGCTGCTATACTCCTTTTCTTTGGATACAAGCCTAACTGAATTCGGTGAAGCCTCTTTATCTCCTTGAAAGAATAATATTGTCGTATAAATGTCTAGATGATGGTAAAACACATGTCCTCCTTTTCCTTACCATTATTAACACTCACGATGCTCTAGTGTCACCGTATGTTCTTTGTTTATCTGGTGGAAAGGAAGATATGCAAATAGCCTTTTTCATTTTTCTAAGTTATTTGAATGTCATTCTGCTAATGGTTAAATTCTGAAGGGTGAAGAAGATTAACCAAAATTACAGGCTTCTTAAGGGTTAATGAACTAGCTTCATCTGTATTTCCTTTCTGAACATTTTATTGGACAAACAAATCTCACATGCAGCTTGTGTTTCTTGTCTGTGTTTACTTCTAGAAAAGTTCCCAGACGCTGAGCCTTATGAAATCATGGAAGCCTTTAATGTTGTTTCCAAAGAAATCTTTAGAAATCTTATTCTGAATGAATACAGAAGGTAAATATGAGATTAGTCTTTCTCAATATTGAAGTGAAGTCATCCTCAGAATAAGGAGGGCAGTAGGAGACCAAAGGTCAGAAAATGTCTGCTGCAGTTCAACATTAGTCTCCCCTATGGCCCTAATCATATTTAATCACAATTAGAATAGACCCACTAAAACAATAGTTGGTAACTGAGTTAGTCAATATTTGTGTAAGTTCCACTGATGCATTCGGTCTAGTTTAGTTATGCGAGTTCCACTGATTCGTTGGATCTATTTTACTTAGAAACTAACAGTAGGATTTAGGCTCATGACAGATTACTATAGAAGACTAGGGAGATCTTTGAGGGATGCACCCCTGCCACCATACACCCCACAGTGCATTTTCCAAAATGCCCTCCAAAAGTTCTAGGTGGTGTGAGGGATATTTTAAACATGTTTTAAGCTGCCTTTCTAGGTCGGGAGAACCTTTTTTAATAGCAGGAAGTGACCATTGCACTTTTCCCGAGCCTAAACTGGAAGAGGCAGAAATGTAGTGAAAATGCTCCTATGCCCCTCTAGAAGGTTTTCAAGAAATTTAAAACATTTGGCCTTTGGCTGCTGCAAATCCACTCCGGATTTCAGCTGGTACGTGTTTGTGTGTTTGCCTGACTGTGCCACTTAAGAAGTTGTATTTAATTGGGTGCCAGAAACCTAGAACCCAAAGTGTGTAGGACCTATCTGGCTCACAGGCATTCTCGTTTGTAAGGAAAGGAAGTGTGGTGAGGCCTTCATTTGAGCATGGATTCCATTATACGGTACTGACCCGATAGTTATTCAGCTCATTCATGTAGCACCTTTGAGACTACATACCGCTCTATAAGACAGTTTCTGATCCCAAATTATATATTTTGAACTGGATTACATGGGAGTGTAGACTCATATAATTGAGTTCAAAGCAGATAATCTGGGATCAGATACTGGATTATATGGCAGTGTAGATACAGCCAAAGAGGTTATTAGCATAAACCTTTGTAGGCGCCATCTACACTGCCATACAAAATCCAGATTATCTGCGTTAAACTGAATTATATGACAGTGTAGACTCATATAATTAGTTTAAATCTAGATTATCTGCTTCATTATTCATTATTATATGTCAGTGTAGATTCAGCCTCAGTCTGCTTAATCAGATGCATGAAGCAAAGTGCATAAGGATAGACATGTATACCTATGAATGACCAGATTAAATGTAAAACTTGTGGATATGGTGATGTGATGACAAGTTTTTTCGTGATGTGAGAGACTGCAAATTGCTTCTGGTGTGTGAGAATTGGCCATCTGCAAGGATTTTGCCCAGGGGATGCCCAGATGTTTTACCATCCTGTGGGAGGTTTCTCTCATGTCCCCGCATGAGAAGCTGGAGCTGACAGATGGGAGCTCATTCCACTCCCCGGATTCGAACCTCCAACCTTTCAGTCAGTAGTCCTGCCTGCACAAGGATTTAATCCATTGCACCACAGGTGATAGTTTGGTGATATATATAGGGAGAGATAGATTGAGAGAGAGAGAGATGATGGAAGAAAGTGCCTAAAACCAAGGTGAATAGATAGCTCTCCAAATAGTGGAGGGAACAAATAGAATATATTATGAAGCTGCTTGGGAACCAGAAAGGATAAAAAGGACAAGAGAGCCCTTGTGAGGTTGGGGTGTTAACTAGTGTTGTGATAAATGTAGAGTGCCAGGTAAACAGTATCTGTGATTCTTAACTTTATTCTCACAGATGTGATGGCAGAGACTTGACTTCCCTTAGAAACATCTCCTGTGAAGTGGACATGTTCAAAACCCTTCATGGATCGGCACTGTTTCAGAGAGGTCAGACTCAGGTATTCTCTCCGTCCCCACCAACCTTTTCTGTTTGTTGAGTTTCCTATGCATTTTAGTTTCTTTTATTTGAATGTCTGTTTTTCTAACTAATTATTGAGGGTGGCTTCTGTTCCACTCATAGATTCTAAGTGGGCAGAAATGGCTGCATGCCAGAGGTTGTGGGTTTATTCCCTCGTGGTTGTTTAAAAGGTTTTCAGTAGAAGAGCTTTGGAAGACTTCTGTCTGGAATGCTCATAGCTGATGAGAAGTTGTGGTACATCATTGCGTATATGCCTCTTCAAGTCACCTCTCAATTTATGCCAACCCTATTCATTTCATGGAGTTTTCTAATGCAAGGAACACTTTACTTTAAGGGTTTTAAAGCCCACAAAATCTATTAATATAATAAACAAAATTGTAAAGTTCCAAGCCAATATAATTAGGAATGGTGTTTATTGTTGAATACAATGAATTCCTCTGTAGAATGTGTTGGGCAAGTGGGTCTAATAACAAAAGACCCTCCTAATAAATGCACAACAGAGTGACTTAGCAGCAGCAGCGTGACCCAGCACCAGTAGTAATAAAAAGAACAAAAACAAAAAGGCCAAGGCTATCTCTTCCAAAGGATGCTTTTCTTTGTAGTAAAATAATTTGGTTGCACTATTTACAACAACAAGATTTCCATAACGCAAAGAAACAAATACACAGTATGGCCGGAATCACTGGGTTGTTGTAGGTTTTTTTCGGGCTATATGGCCATGTTCTAGAGGCATTTCTCCTGACGTTTCGCCTGCATCTATGGCAAGCATTTTCAGAGGTAGTGACTACCTCTGAGGATGCTTGCCATAGATGCAGGCGAAACGTCAGAAGAAATGCCTCTAGAACATGGCCATATAGCCCGAAAAAACCTACAACAACCCAAATACACAGTAGCTTTATACGCAGCCTTCATGCTGGAGCTTTCTCACACAAGACTTCTCTCACACTGAGGTTTACCTCACACTCCTCAGAACGACAGTAGCTTTGGCCCACTAACTCTAACGGGCTTCGGCCTACTCACTCTCCTCAGGATGACACTATTTTTGGCCCACTGACTCTTAACAGGCTTCGACCTACTCACTTTTTCAGTGCTTGACTCCCATTTTTGTAATTAAAAACCTAGTTAATTTTTTAATATTTCTGACAGAGTGTGTCCATATCTCAGTAGAAAACCAAAGGTATGCCTTGCATGCAAAAGATTCAACTATAGAAAGGGCTAGAAAACTCTGCAAAGCCACTACCAGTCAGTATCTTGAGTATCAACAACACTGAGCCAGTGTTGTCAATATTTCAAAGAGTTTGAAACACTCAAAGGTGGTTTTGCCTGTTCATTCTTCTGAAATACAACCTACAGCACCAGATATTCATTGACGGACTCTCATCCAGGTAATAATCAGGGTTTACCCTGTTTAGCTTTCAAGATCAAGTGATATCTGGTTGTCTTAGGGTATTTAGGTCCAGTTACAGTGTTTGTTTCTTGACAACACCAGAACGGGCTAGAAAATTCTGTGAAGTCACTACCAGTCAGTATCTTGAGTATCAATTACACTGAACCGGTGTTGTTAATATTTCACAGAGTTTTATTTGACAAGAAATACTCAATGGTGGGTTGCTGTGAATTTTCTGGACTGTATGGCCACATTCCAGAAGCATTATTTCCTGGTGTTTCACCCACATCTATGGCAGGCATCCTCCTATGCCTGCCATAGATGTGGGTGAAACGTCAGGAGAGAAGGTTTCTTTTATGGCCAGTGATTCTGGCCATAAAAACCTTTGACAACTCAAAGGTGATTTAAAATATAATCTGCAACACCAGATATTCTCATCCAAGTAATAATCAGGGTCTACCCTGCTTAGCTTTCAAGATTAAATGAGAACTTGTTGTCATGCAGTATTTAGGTCCATTTGTGGTGTATGGTTTTCAACAACTCCAGAAAGGGCCAGAAAACTCTGTAAAGCCACTGTCAGTCAGTATCTTGAGTATCGATAATGCTGAGTCAGTACAGTCGCCCCTCAACATTTTTGGGTGTAACTTTTGTGGATCTAATTGTTTGCAGATTTGATTGACTATAGTCACACACTCAGGTTTAAAAAAGTTTTTTTGTGTGGTTTAGCTGGGAGTTATACTGAAATATGTGCCTGTGCTGACTTGCATACAAATTCAACTCAAGAACAAACCTACAGAACCTATTTTGTTCCTAATTTAGGGATTTTGTCAAGCTTGGATAGTAGAGTTTATGATAATTTCATTGATGGGCTTGTTTCTGAATGCCTAATTAGTCCTAAAATACAATGGTGGTGTCACAAATGTGAACAATTTAGATAAGTGCTTTGACGTTGGTCTGCAGTTAAACTGTATTAGGTAGGCATCATCTGTTCTGTCCCAAGCCAACGGCAGAACATTTCTTGACAGTTTCTCTGCAGGAATATAAGACCATTCTTAACTTTCTGTGAACGTGTTCATCAAATAAGGCTGTACATATGTTCTGCATCACTATTAAAAGCTGTGCTGTGTGTGGGCTGTGCGTGTCATTGAATGAAAAGGTCCCTGTGGGCGAAGGGCTTAAAATAGCGTCATGTGTGAATCAGACCTGCTGCTCTGCTTAAATTGGAGGGTGCGGAAATTTATTTTTGCACCGTATTTATTCCCTGAAAATTTGTTCAGAGGAGTTGTGTGTATCCTTGGCTGCAGTTTCTTGTAGTACATGAAAGTTTTAAGGTGGCTTATCTAGCTGAAAGGTAGTGGAAGTGGGAATTTCCATTTATTAAAAGTTTTAGAAGTGACCCCACTTTTTTTTTGGCCATTGTTTCAGCCCTCTGGTCCATTTTTGAGGAAATCAATAGGAAAATCATCATGTCAGACTTCACAATAAATGTGAAATGTAGAGTTGTTGACTATCGGGATAGAAAGCAGTGTAATAATAATAAAAACAACAACAACAACAACAACAACTCCTCTGGGACTTCCGGATCAGACAGACAGAGTTTTGGAGCATAATACTCCTGACCTCACAATCGTGTTAAAACACAAAGTATGGATCGTCAATGTTGCAATCCCAGGTGACAGCAGGATTGCAGAGAAATAACTGGAAAAGCTGACACGATATCTATATAAATTAAAATGTAATGTTCATTTGTGGGACTAACATAACTCAAAAACCAATGGGCAAATTGACACTGAATTTGGACACAATAAACGTATCAGGCCAATGAGTGATTATCACTCATAAAAATACTGAAAAACACAGCAGAAGAGACTTAAAAAGCCAAAAAACAAAAAAATTACAACGTATGCGCAAAACCACATATACACAAACACACATATATACACACAAATATATATACGCACAAAACACATATACACAGAATGGGCCACAGCAACTCATAGCAGGGGATGGCTAGTGAGGATTTAAAAATTGAACTGCAAAGACTCTGGCACAAACCAGTAAAGGTTGTCCCAGTGGTGATTGGCACACTGGGTGCAATGCCTAAAGACCTTGGCCTGCACTTAAACACAATCGGCACTGACAAAATTACCATCTGCCAGCTGCAGAAGGCCACCTTACTGGGATCTGCACGCATTCTTCGCCGATACATCACACAGTCCTAGACACTTGGGAAGTGTCCGACGTGTGATCCAATTCAAAAGCCAGCAGAGTGTCTGCTGTGGACTCATCTTGTTGTGTTTCAAATAATAATAATAACAACAACAACTTTATTGTTATACCCCACCAATCATCTCCCCAAGGGGACTCGGGGCGGCTTACAAGAGACAAGCCCAGAAATTACAAATAGAACACAACCAATTAAAACATCAGATAAAATATAAAAACAATCACAATTTTAAACAATATCAAAACAATATGGCTGAGAAAGAACATAGCTGAGGTTCAGGCTCCATGAGTGCAATACATCCTGAAGGGAGTGCAGGGAAAGTGCAACAATCAAGTAGACAGGGCTGGGAATAGTGTCATCAAAAGTGTTGAGGTGGACGATAAGAGGGCCGAACGTAAAGCACTGAACTTAAAATAGGAACAGGGAAAAATTACTGGTGGACTGCTTAACCCAGAAGTGGAAATGCTTTACTTGAATCCTCAAGTCAAATAGTGTCACTGTTTCATTGTATCTATTTTGCATATTTATTTGTGGATTTATATACATTTTATGCTTTAATGTATTGTCGAAGGCTTTCATGGCTGGAATCACTAGGTTCTTGTGGGTTTTTTTCGGGCTATAGGGCCATGTTCTAGAGGCATTTCTCCTGACGTTTCGCCTGCATCTATGGCACGCATCCTCATGCTTGTGGACAATTTCAACAGAAAAGAAGAGACCATGAAAATGTACAAAATCTGGCTACCAGTATTAAAAAAACTCTAAAATTACAACAGCAAAACAGCAGAGAGGAAACAACCAGGCACATCTTAACACCTCTCAACGGGGATTTTCCCAGGCTCAAGCAGGCCTTCAAATGCTAATGAAGGTGATCAGTTGAAACATTCACACCTAGCTCCAGCAGGGAAGAGCTCTTTGCCCCACCCCAGCCATTCCACAGATATATAAACCCATTGTCCTAATTCCAACAGACCGCACTACCTCTGAGGATGCTTGCCATAGATGCAGGCGAAACGTCAGGAGAAATGCCTCTAGAACATGGCCCTATAGCCCGAAAAAACCCACAAGAATCTATTTTATGCTTTGTTTGCATGTTTTTGTCTTTGAATAATTTCCCTGTTCACTGAGAATTTTATCTCCAATCTCCAAAATGAATTGCCTTCCTCTGTTGCTGTTCCAGGTCCTTTGTACGGTTACGTTTGACTCATTGGAATCAAGTGTAAAATCTGATCTTATCACAACAGCTATAAGGTATATATTACTATCCTTCCACCCCCTGTGTTGGTTGCTGAAATTGTTGAGATCTTTAGGATGATAGCCTTCAAGGAAATAAGGATTCTAACTGTGGCCTGCGCACTTGCTCAGCATGCGGTTAAACTAATGTTTCCACATAAAAGGATCAGATGATAAGTAGGAAATGTGAGGTCCTGGTTAACAACTTTGTTAATTAAGCTGTCAAGGCCTTCAGATTATGTTGGACTGTAGCTCTTAGCATTCCCCCACATTGTCTCTATCACTGCTTCTTAAACTGTGATTCTCGTCCCCAAATGGGACTTTCTTTGCTCAATGTTGGGGTCATGGAAAAATTCAGCAATGGTAAAAGATTTCTGAATGCCATCCATTTACATCAGTGGTTCCCAACCTGTGGTCCATGGACCACCAGTGGTCCTCAAGAACGAAAATAGGGTCCACAGACTCACTATTACTACACGGTTGCTTCAAAACCTTGCGGCAACAAGAGGAACTAGGCTTGTAAAACCCTTTTATAGTGCCGAGGCAATGGGGATGTTGGGAGGGGAGAGGCTGACTACCCACAAAAGATTACGACAACCACATCACGTCTAGATTATTAAATATGGTTTTCTGTGGCCGAGCAGATGGCACCTACTGGATGGCATATATTCTGTATTAGAAGCTAGAGCTGATGTGGTCTGTTCAATGCAATTTTCTGAATGAGCACTCCAAATAACCAAACCGAATCTAGAGTTGACCAAAAACTGATTTGTAACCCGTTTATTTATTTATTTACACTATTTATTTTCCACCCATCTCACTCTGCAGGGAACTCAGGGCAGATGACAATGCACATATACATGGCAAACATTCAATTCCATTAGACGCACAACATATACAGACAGACACAGAAGCAATTTAACATTCCAGCTTTCTGGCTTCATGAGGGTATGCTCGATTCCGGCCACAGGGGGAACTGCAGCTTCACCATCCACTTGTGATACCGAGTCCTTGATGGAGTACTTCCTCATTCTTACGCATGCTGCTGGAAGATTTTATGGTGTCATAAATTAGTTAAATTAGCCTCCCCGCATAAAGTGGTACCGAAATTTCCTACTTGACAGATGCAGCTGTCTTTCGGGCTGCATAGGTCAACAGCAAGCTAGACTATTAATAGTTGGGAGCTCACTCCGAACCGGGCTGGCTTCAGACTCATGATCTTTCAGTCAGTAGTGATTTAATGAAGCTAGCTATTAACTACCTGCACCATAGCCCGGTCTAATGTTGGAGAGTGGTCCCTGGTCAAAAAAAGGTTGGGAACCACTGATTTACATGAATCTGTTCTTCAATGTTTACAATGGACTTTGCAGAGAACCTTTCAGCTGTAATCCACAAAAAGGAAATTTATCCTGTTTAGCAAGCCTTGCAAATGCTTGTTTATTAATAGTCAGTGTTGAATAAAGGAACGAGTAATATTTATTTCAGTCAATGACCAGCATTTCAATCAGTGTTTGATTTTTATACCTATTTTCCATGACCCCATATTTGGGGTCATCGAACAATTTCTCTGGTGGAAAGGGTTCACCAGTGGAAAAAGTTTAAGATGCCCTACGTCACTTGGGAGTTGCAATCCAACAAAATCTGGAGAATTATATTATTTTCACTTTTACTTTAAATCCAGACAAACATGAAAGCCTGCATTCTGGCTTTGAAAAGAATTCAGGAAGATTAATACATTCAAACAGTTTTCAGTCCTCTAAGATCTTGTCATTATTAACTACGAGTATTTGCGTGCAGTATGTATTTAAAGCCTCCTGTTTATCCAAACAATTTCCCTTTCAACCATTCACAGATCAAGCTCAGATCTACTTAGTTTCAGCAAAATAAAAACACTCTGTGTCCTCAGTTGACTCTTTGATCCCTGTGAGGTCAGGCCAGCTTCCCTGGGATAAGAGCCTTTCAGCGTTTTCGCTACTACACAAAAAGGCCTTGTTTTGCTTCGTACCTGATTTAGCAATTTGACTGCATGATTTGAAGCAGGATGTCTTCCAAAGATTTCAAGGAGTTTTACACAGTGGAACAAACACTCTCCAAAAGCAAGCCTGTCTAACCTATCACACAATTTTTACATCATGTAAACTCAGCACATGAGAGAAGATGGGGAGGACCAAGCCTTTATCTATATATATATATATGCTCAGTGCATAATGAGTACCTTAAAAACAAAAGAACCAATGAACGAAATTACACCAGATTTGGCAACAAAACATCTCACTACTCAAGGAGTGACCATCACTCAAAATATTATGATTTTGTCATTTGGGAGTTGTCGCTGCTGGGATTTATAGTTCATCTACAATCAAAGAGCATTCTGAACTCCACCAATGATGGAACTGAACCAATCTTGGCACACAGAACTCCCATGACCAACAGAAAATACTAGCAGCGTTTGGTGGGCATTGACCTTGAGTTTGGGAGTTGTAGTTCACCTGCATCCAGAGAGCACTGTGGACTCAAACAGTGATGGATCTGGACCAAACTTGGCACTAATATTCCATATGCCCAATTATGAACACGGATGGAGTTTGGGGGAAATTTGGGGGAGTTTGGGGGAAATAGACCTTGGCATTTGGGAGTTGTAGCTACTGGGATTTATAGTTCACCTATAATCGAAAACCATTCTGAATGAACCCCATGAATGACAGAACTGGGGCAAACTTGCCACACAGAACCCCCATGACCAACAGAAAATACTTAAGGCCATCTAGTCCAACTCCACCAGGGCAAGAAAATGTAATCAAAGCCATCCTGACAGAGAGCCATCCAGCCATAGATATAGATAGATATATATGATTCACACACAGAGAGAGAAAGTATCATAGATTTGAAAGGTAGCCCTAAAGAAGGACAATTATATGTTGCATGTTCCAGAGTAGGCAAACCAGACAATCTCTACGTCAACACTGTCAAAGAAACAGCAAGAAATACCATTTACCCGCAAGCATAAAGACATTACATATATTAGAAACCAGCACTTTCTATTTATTTTATTTTCCATATCACCAGACTGGGCCACAGCAGCGCATGGCAGGGGACCACTAGTTATATATATATTTTTGTGGATTTGTGTATGTATTAAATAATGTGAAGCTCATTTCATTCTGCAAAACATTTATTTCTATTTTTAGCGGAATAAAAGAAAAAAACTTCATGCTGCATTATGAGGTATGACTTATTTTATTCCATTTAGAGCTCTAAGGAAAGCATCTATGTTTAAATAACTCAATGAAAATATTTGCAAATTTCACACTGACTAGATTTTGCTCTTTTTTTGAGAATCGGATCTACTACATTCTACATTAAAAGCATGTTGCTAGGACCTAAAGGCAACAACTTGCTTGGTGCTCCTATAGAAAAACAAATCTATATGTTGAAACAGTATTTTAATAGCATTTTGTGATTTTGTTACTTAGTGTTACTTTAGTCACATTTAAGTACAGTAGAGTCTCGCTTATCCAAAATAAACAGGCCAGCAGAACGTTGGATAAGCAAAAATGTTGGATAATAAGGAGGGATTAAGGAAAAGCCTATTAAACGTGAAGTTATGTTATGATTTTACAAATTTAGCACCATTTAGTAATCTAAGATCATCCGGGGAGGCCCTGCTCTCGCTCCCGTCAACAGCACAGATGCGCCTGGCGGGAACGAGAGACAGGGCCCTCTCGGCTGTGGCTCCCCGCCTATGGAACACCCTCCCAAATGAGGTAAGATCTGCTCCCTCCCTCCTGGCTTTTAGAAAAAAAATTAAAATCATGGTTTTGGGACCAGGCCTTTGGGCAGTAGAAGTAAATGTATGCAGCATTTCAGAAAGACAGTGACTGGAACGGCAATTCGATGGACGAGACTTTTATTGTTTTAATGATTGTTTTATTGCTTGTGGATGCACTGTTTTTAACTTGATTTATGTCTAATTGTAGTGTATAATTGTAATTGTTTGTACTGGCATTGAATTTGGCCATTGCTTATGTGTAAACCACTTTGAGTCCCCCTCGGGGTGAGAAAAGCAGTATATAAATACTGTAAATAAAATAAATAAATAAAACATTATGTTTTACAACAAATCGACAGAAAAAGCAGTGCAATACATGGTAATGTTATGTAGTAATTACTATATTTATAAATTTAGCACCAATTTTTGGGATTGATTTTTTTACTAAAATTTCTAAACTTATACATTATATAGGATAGGTGTGAATCTGTCCATGATTTCGGGGCCATGATGTGTAATTACTCGAATTGCTCCGCAGTTGCAGCCTGTATTCTCCCCTTGTGCTGGTGGAACAGTTTAATTTCATACTTTTTGTTGCTCTTTTGTGCGTTCAAGTCATTTCCAAGTTAAGACGGACCTATCATGGCTTGGGCGTGGGTTTCCATGTCTGAGCAGGGAACTGAAAGTTTTTTGGCAGTACTCAAAGCATTACACCACTCTGGCTCTCTTCACGTGTTTATTCACGATGAATTAATTAAGCCTTAAGGCATTTGATCGGTTTTCAGGACGACTTGAAAATATTTGGCTTTCTAGTTTCAATTTAGGGTCCCTTGGTGGCACAGCGGGTTAAACTGCTGATTTGCTGAACTTGCTGACTGAAAGGTTGGCGATTCAAATCCAGGGAGCAGGGTGAGCCCCAGCTTCTGCCAACCTAGCAGTTCAAAAACATGCAAGTGTGAGTAGATCAATAGGTATTGCTTCTGTGGGAAGGTAACGACGCTCCATGCAGCCATTCTGGCCACATGACCTTGGAGGTGTCTACAGATAACGCCAGCTCTTTGGCTTAGAAATAGAGATGAGCACCACCCCCCCAGAGTCGGACACGACTAGAATTAATGTCAGGGAAAACCTTTACCTTTACATTAGTTTCAATTTCAAATAAGATTAATTAGTTATTTTAATATAGAAATACAACCCTCTAATGCAGTGGTTCTCAACCTGGGGTTCCCAGATGTTTTTGGCCTACAACTCCCAGAAATCCCAGCCAGTTTACCAACTGTTAGGATTTCTGGGAGCTGAAGGCCAAAAACATCTGGGGACCCCAGGTTGAGAACCACTGCTCTAATACTATGCATTTATTTGAACCCTTTTGTAAGAATGTCAATAGATTAGACACTTTAATTGATAGGTATTTTATTGTCATGTAAAATGATACCATAATGCAGTTAGATCATTTACATAATCAGGAAAAGTCTCAGCTCATTAATATTATTAGATTTAGATGTGTCTGCATTTAGACTGATGGTTTATTTTTAAAACACTGGATGTTCCTGATATTAGATGTTGAAATTAGAAATTAGATGTTGACCCTGAAAGTGGGCCATTTATATACTTTGGCAAAGTTTTTTTTTCATGGATGTTGAAAAATGGCTTATGTTTCACATAGGCTACATGTTTTTCATTCTTTGGGGTGAATTTTGTAGGCTTTTGTCTGAAAATGTATGTTAACAGATGAGTGTGTTACAATACCTTATTTCTCTTACAGTTCCCTCCATATGCAACTAATGAGATTGGAAAAATTTCTAGTATGAACAGAAGAGAACTTGGTCACGGTGAGTAAAAGGTGAAAAAACTTGAGTAGGTTGCACTGAAACAGAAATGAACTTTTTATATGTATAATATGATTTTTTTTTATTTTTATCTGCAGGTGCTCTTGCAGAGAAGGCTTTGAAACCAGTGATTCCCAGTGAATTCCCTTTCACAATAAGGGTGACTTCAGAAGTACTGGAATCCAATGGTATGTGACTTAATTTATTTGAGTCTGTTGCTGAGAGTTGAGGGAAAAAGATTTGCATATATCCTTTGGAAATCTCTGACAAGTGTTCTAATTATAGAAGGGAGAGTATAGCCAGGGCCTGTCATCATTTCCTTTTGTGATGTCAGCTGCAGAAACTTGGGTTGAAACTTGTGAAATGGCTCAGATATAGGTGACGACTGTGTTTCCATTATCTAGAAGGGAATGTACTAATGTCATGGGGAGATTACAAATTAGAAGCTGACACATCATTGTCAGTACTGAGTATATCGCTGGGCAGTGTATGTTTTTGAAGTTTTTTTAATTTTTTAAAAATATGCTAATTCCTTTTTTAGCATTAATTTTTATTCAGAAATCAAAAAATACAGAAATACAAACATACAGGGAGAGATATGGGGGGAAGAGCTACAGAAAGCAAAAACAGTAAAYCCCACCCCACCCCAGCACACATACACATTTTTCCATGTTATAAAAAAAAAAGAGAGAGGGAAGAAGGGAGGGAAGATGGAGGAAAGGAAGGACAAAAGAATGGAAGGGAAGGGAAAGGAGAAAGAGGGAGGTACGGAAGGAAGAGAAGGAAGGATAGAATAAGGAAGGAAGGAAAAATAGGGAGAGGGAAGAAGGGAGGAAAGAATGAAGGACAAAAGAGTGGAAGGGAAGGAAGGGGGAAGGAGAAAGAGGGAGGTAAGGAAGGGAAGAAAGGATAGAATGAGGAAGGAAGGAAGGAAGGAAGGAAGGAAGGAAGGAAGGAAGGAAGGAAGGAAGGAAGGAAGGAAGGAAGGAAAAAGAGGGAGAGAGGGAAGAAGGGAGTAAAGAGGGAAGGAAGGAAGGACAAAAGAGTAGAAGGGAAAGAAGGGGGAAAGAGAAAGAGGGAGGTAAGGAAAGAAGGGAAGGATAGAATGAGGAAGGAAGGAAGGAAGGAAGGAAGGAAGGAAGGAAGGAAGGAAGGGAAGGGAAGGGAAGGGAAGGGAAGGGAAGGGAAGGTGTGAGAGAGGAAGGCCTAAGAAAAGAGCCTTATATATATATACCTGCTATATATATAATCTTCTATTTTTCATAACACTCTTCTAAATCAGAAGACCCATCGTTGAATTTTGTCCATATCTTTGTTGTAAGAAAATGATAAATGAATCCCAGTCAGAAAGGTGGTAATTACTTGGAAGATGATTTGTGTAACTTGTGATTTATGTCTCTAGGATCATCATCAATGGCATCTGCTTGTGGCGGGAGTTTAGCACTGATGGATGCAGGTATGCATTTCACAGAAAATGAACATCTTCGGTACTCTTGTATATTCAAGGTGTTTAATATTGCTATCATCACTTGAAATATATATATGTTTCTCTTACTGTTAGGGGTGCCAATTTCATCGGCTGTAGCAGGCGTTGCTGTGGGTTTGGTTACCAGTCCTAACTCGGAAAAAAACGGAGACATTGAGAATTATCGCTTGCTAACCGATATTCTGGTGAGAGTTTCTTCTTGCTTATAGTTTGAAATATTATTATCAGCTCCAGAAGATTTGTACTCTATGCTTTAAAAAATCAAAACGCATATGATAGAGTTTAATATTCTGAAAGCAGTGTAAAAATGTAGTGTTGTGTTAAGTGTTCATCGCCTAGTTTATATTCCTAGCACTCAACTACCTTTCTAATGCTCCACTCGAGAATAAGACTTCAATGGACTGTTGTGTCTAGGTTGATGTTGCCATTGGCTGTGCATGTCCAAATGTCCAAAATAACTTTTGTTTGCATTAACGTCATTCCACTAGATATGTACCTCAGTTTCCGAAAGTAGAGCAAAACAATAAATGTAATAATAGAATAAAATAATAAGTGTAATAACAATAATAGAGAAAATAATACATGTAATAATAATAGAGTAAAATAAAAAATGTAATAATAAAAATAATAGAATAAAATAATAAATCTAATAAAAAAGTAAAATAAATGTAATAACAATAATAGAGAAAAATAATAAATGTGACAATAATAGAGTAAAATCATAAATGTAATAAAATAATTATAGAAAAATATATAAATGTAATAATAATAATAGAGAAAATAATAAATGTAATAATAATAGAGTAAAATAACATGTAATAATAATAGAGAAAAAGAATGAATGTAATAATAATAATAGGGTAAAATAATAAATGTAATAATAATAATAATAATAATAATAACAACAGTAAAATAATAAATAACCTTGACTCGAATATAAGCCAAGGGGTGCTTTTTCATCCTAAAAGCAGGGCTGGAAAACTCAGCTTATACTTGAGTATATATGACACTTGCATATCCATAATGAGATATTTTAGAGATGTGACTCAAGTCTAAGCACAAAATTAATTTTTGTTTCATAGACACCTTATACACATAGCTTGAGGGTCATTTTAGACATTTTTTTCTATACAATACACTGTGTAAACTGAACTATCAGAAAACAAAAATACCACCATTTCATCTACCTATGAGGACAATTTTGGATTTTGGATAAGTGGTGCTCAATCAATATGATTGTTTACTTGGGATCTTAGGAACTGTAGCCCTTCTGGTTGATAGTTTGCTCAAACAAAATTCTGAGCACTTAAAATCAGATAAAACTTGTTAGATTCCTTCTGTATAAAGATATTGCAGGATTGACTTTAACACTACCATATATCCATTGCAGCAGAGTAGAATTTGTTGTGGGGCCTTTGGGAAGAGCTTTGACAAAATGTTTCAAATGCACTTATTTTTGCAGGGGATTGAAGATTATCTTGGTGACATGGATTTCAAAATGGCTGGAACAAATAAAGGAATAACTGCCTTGCAGGTATCTGTTTGAGATCATCAAAATTCCTAAATATTAAAAAAAAACCTCCACAAAGTGTTAAAGAAAATGGTGCTATTGATATAAAGTGATTTCCGTTTGTATATTATTAGGCTGATATCAAGCTACCAGGAATACCCCTAAAAATCGTAATGGAAGCTATTCAGCAAGCCACAGGTAAGCACACAGTATGTGGTTATAAAATTACTTTTGTGCTGTGTTGATTTGTTTTTTGAGAGGCAATAATCCCCTTTATAGCAACAGAGGAAATAGATACCAGTGCATGATGAGCACTTTTGTCTCTTTTTAGACTCAACGTTCTGCCTCAGCTGGGCGTTGTGTTACCTTTTCCATTCCTGTTGGCTGTTCGTTTTTGTAACTCTGTGATAAGGCCCAGCTTCCTGTATCATGTCTTGATTGGTTATCTTTAGCTGGACCCGTCTCTCGGGACTAATCCTACCCCACTTTTACCTCATCCTTGTTGTTGTGGTGGTGTGGCTTCAAGTGGCTTCCAATGTTTGGCAATCTAAGGGAAAACCTATCACAAGGTTTTCTTGGTTGAATCTGTTCAGAGGGTGTTTGGCTTTGCTCTGGTGTGAGGCTAAGAGAGTGACTTTCCCAAGGTGGGCTACTATGACTGAGTAGGGATTTGAATCCTGATCACGAGATCAGGAGTCCTTGAAGTGACTGGCTTGACTTTGAAGGAACTGGGGGTGGCCACAGCTGACAGGGAACTCTGGCGTGGGGTGGTCCATGAGGTTACGAAGAGTCAGAAGCAACTGAACAAATAAACACAACAATAACAACAACAGAGTCATAGTCCAAAGCTGAAACCACCATACCTGAGGGATCAGAGCGAATTACAGATTACATATATGGCAAACATTCAATAATAATAATAATAATAATAATAATAATAATAATAATTGTTCCCCACTTTTTCTCTTGGCTTGAGATGGGGCACAGTGTATTTAAAACACATCACCATAAAATATACCTATATAAATAAAAATGTAATGTTCGTTTGTAGGATTAACATAACTCAAAAACCACTGGGTGGATTGATACAAAATGTGGACACAAAATGTTGACCTATCAGGCCAACGAGTGACCATCACTCATAAAAACACTGAAAAACACAGCAGAAGAAACTTAAAAAGCCAAAAACCGAAAATTACATTACAATGCATCCCACATATATACACACAAACACACGTATACACATTTACACAAATATATACACACACATATACACACACAAAACACATATACACAGACTGGGCCAGAGCAACACGTGGCAGGGGACGGCTAGTATATTATATGGGAAGTGTCTGACGTGTGATACAATACAACACCCAGCAGAGTGATCTTGTTTGCTGTGGACTCATCTTTTTGTGTTTCAACTAATAATAACAACAATAATAATATACTTGGATCTGCGTGCATCATTCGAAAATACATCACACAGTCGTAGACGCTTGGGAAGTTTTTGACTTGTGATTTTGTGATACGAAATCCAGCATATATAACTCGTTTGCTGTGACATACTATGTTTTTGTGTCAGTAATAATAATAATAATAATAAACCACTGAGCTGCTGAACTTGGTGACCGAAAGTTTGGCGGTTTGAATCCGGGGAGCGGATAGAGATATTTCTGCTTTTTATTCAGTTTGCCTATGATTTTTAGTTAGTTGATCGTCCGCTAATTAATTGACTCAATAAATTTAAGTCAATGTTCATATTAACAAATCTTCAGTTGGATGCCCTGTTAAAAAGGCAACTTGAATTGAATATGGAAGATTTACCATTGGGAGAAGACAGGGCTAATTTAAATATTTGCAGTAATCTCTCTTTTTGTATTTTATTTATGTATATTTTTAAACTTCTAAAAATAAACCTATCCAGAAGTTTCTTTTAAATTCTGCTTTTCCGATTGAACTCCTCCAACTTGTAGCTAATTAATCTACTATTTATTTGTCGTGTCAGGGCAACCAGTCAATTATATTACATTTCTAACAGAACAAAGCAAACAAACAGACAAAATACAAAATTTGTGAGTTTGGTAGTTGATTAAATGTCCTTTGACCTGTATCTGGCCACTTGGAGTGCTTCTGGTGTTGCTGCAAGAACAATCTACTGATTAGATGTGATTAAAGTCAGCAGATTTACCCCGTATTGTGGGGACACCTTATGGATTCAAATTTAGATAATTTACTTTCATTTTTGATGTAAGTCTTAACTGTGTTTCTTCTTTTAGTCAAATGTTTCTTCATGGTGAGTGATCTGTGCCACCCAAGATGCTTGCTATTTCTAAAGAAAGCCAGTCCTTTTCCTTTTTCTTAAGAAAGCATTTTTGCCTTCACTCACCTTCATTGGCTACTTATGGAAAACACAGTGTCTTGAGAAAATAACCATGTGCAGCCAGACATGAATAATCCTAGCAAAGAAACTATTGAAGTAAATTTTGTTTTTTCCTCCTCTGTCCCTTTTGTGCAGATCTATTATTTAGGCAGTAGTGAGGAAACTGTGATTAACCTTACTGGGAAGTATATTTTTATACTGAAAAACCCAACGCACAAAAGCTGTGTGTGTATGTATGTGGTCAAGAAGACAATAGAGGCTGCATGAAGCACAAAAGAGAATGAATGTTCCCTATTCCTCAGCGGGGTTAAGCTCTTTGAAATGGAACTACCTGGGGGAAGATGGAAGGCTTTCGAAAGCCCAGAAATATAATGGCACAAAACCGGGTGCACTGAATGTCCTTGCAAAGCATTGAGATGGGAAACAGCTCCGCTTTTTGTTTAACGGTGCGCCAGCTCCCCCAAAGTGCCTCAGACCCTGGCTGTGATGCTGCAGCGCAAAAGGCTTGCATGGTTAGTCATGTTCGGAGCTGACAAAAGAAAGAGGCCGTCTCACTGCCGCCGAGAAGGATTTTTAGAAAACGAAAATGTTAATGTGCGCATTCTATATTTAAACTGGTTTTTTTTCCCTTTCCTCCATAGTGGCAAAGAGAGAGATCTTGCAAATTATGAACAAAGCAATTGCCAAACCCAGAGCAAGCAGAAAGGAGAATGGACCGCTCGTTGGTAATGGCATACACACCTAAACCGGGGAGATTGGGATGGACAAATCAGTCAGTTTTTAATCCATATGAGTTGTTTTCATCTGTGAGAAGTCAATTTTATCCAGTGTCCAAATATTCTACTCTATATTAGACTTGTAGAATGATAGGACCAGTATAAAAAGCCTTCGACAATATAGAATCAATTACAGAATTGCAGAGAAACAACCCACTAAAATAATATTGTTTTAGTAATACATGAAAATATTAATCTTTTATTTTGTATGCTGATTTTTGCAATGCTCTGAATAACCAAATTTGGTGTTTAAAGGGTAAATCATATTGCAGCCTTGGATATTTATTGGCAAACTTGAATCGAAATAGAACTACCTAGGGGAAGATGCTAAAAATGTAAATCTAACAATAATGTGCCCAGTTTTGTTTTATTTATTTATATTCTTTTTTCTAAAATGGGATTGAAATGCCTACATCTTTGCTTGTTTCTCTCAATGCACAAAATATTTGTTTTCAGGACATGTTGGGCATTGAATCATCATTGCTCAGTACATTCACATTTAGATAATTTCCTCATGTCATTCCTATCTGTATCTGCCTTCTGTACGGCTCGGCCAAGCAATTACTCTTAACAGGACATTATTATTATTATTATTATTATTATTATTATTATTATTATTATTATACTGATTTATATGCCTCTTTTTATCTCTTTATCAGGACACAAAGCAATTGAAAATCGGGGCATGTTGCCGGCCATAGCATTGCACTTAATTCCCGGACCCCCTAGAATTTTTGGGCTTGCACAAATCTTGGCCCAGCCTTATAAATTTTTAAATTGCCTTGAACAGGCAGGATTATTTTTAATATATGTGTGTTATTGCAACAATTTTTATGCTTATATTTTGTTTTGTTAATCTTATGGTTATGTTGTTTTACTTTGTATGTTTTGTGATGTTACCTGGGAACCACTCTGAGTCCCCTCAGGGAGATGGAGCAGTATATAAATAAAGTATTATTATTATTATTATTATTATTATTATTATTATTATGAACATTTATTTATTTGCTTAATCATTTGTTTATTGGGTTGCTATAAGTTTTCCAGGCTGTATGGCCATGTTCCAGAAGCATTCTCTCCTAACATTTTGCCCACACTGGGGAATTCCAGACAAGAATCAATCAGGGCCAGCTAACACCTCAAACAAAAGATTTCATCCAGGCAGGAAGCAGCCATGCCATTAAATGCTAATCAAGATGACCACTTGCACATTCACACTTGCCTCGAGCAGACAACAGTTCTTTCTCCCAGCCTGGGCATTCCACAGATATATATATATTTATTTATTTATTTACTTTGCTTATATACCGCTGTATCTCAAGCCCGAAGGCGACTCACAGCGGTTCACAAACAGTAAAAACAGTAGAAACAGCAGTGGTTCCATACAACATATAACAATTGACTTAACACATTATCCATAAATTACCAATAAGCAATTACAATGCACAATTATTATGAAAAACAACTGTACCCAATCTTCTCATCATCCAAGCGTAGTCCAGGTTCGTCGTCCATTGTTCCATTCCTATATTCCATTACCAGATTGCACTAAATTACTCAAACGCCTGCACAAACATCCAGGTCTTCACCTTTTTGCGGAATACCATTAGAGATGGTGCTAGTCTAATGTCCGTAGGAAGGGCGTTCCACAGCCGAGGAGCCACCACCGAGAAGGCCCTATCTCTCGTCCCCGCCAGCCATAATAATATATAATATTATATTATAATATATAATCTTCACTTGTCTAGTTTCCAACAGACCCCTCATCCTCTGAGGATGCCTGCCATAGATGTGAAACATTAGGCCTGCCATAGAAACATTAGGAAAGAATGCTTCTGGAAAATGGTCATACAGGCCGGAAAACTCACAGCAACCCAGTGATTCCACCCATGAAAGCTTTCGACAACACATTTGTTTATTACTTTTTACCTAGCCTTGCCATTAAAAAAGCCCAAGGCACTAACGAAATTCGAAAGTAAAAGTTGAAACAAAAAAGAAACAAAAACAGCATAGTAGTAGAGGTTTTGCCTGTTTTTAGAAAGATATCAATAAAAGGACTGAACAAAACTGCCGAAGTAGAGAATACGAAAAGGCTTTGGTGAAGCATCAGAGAAAACTAGATGTGTAAAATAGGTGTTTTGTGCCCCAACCTGGAAAAAAGTGGGATACATATTAATAATAATAATAATAATAATAATAATAATAATAATAATAATAATAATAATATGATTGTGATGGTGTAAAGCTGCTTTATACAGCCATGTACATTCCTCTCTAGTGGATCTCAACACCCATAGAAGCTTTGGCATAAGATAGCAATCATTTAGGTAAATAAAAAAGAGACCCCAAAACACAGTGAATAACAGAGACTAAGTTGCAAAATGAAAAGCTGAATTTTATTCACTCAAAGCACACATTTTTGGGCATACTTTAGGACTTTCTTCATATGCCTATTGTTTAGGGTTTTGAGTTTGCTGTTGTACTTATTATTAGTCTGCTTTTCCCCAAGTGCTGGGGTTCATGGTAGCTTGCAGAAGTTAAAAGTAGATACTGATAAAGTCCACATCACTAGAAACACACAAAAGCTAAAGTGTAATTAAGGTCTCAATAGAATTGCTGAGGTGCCCCAGTTGTGAAAACCCCTTCCCCTGAAGGCCCAGTTGGTGCCAGTGCCAATAAATGAATTAATATCGACCTGTTTAGTGTCACAGGGATGAGAATGAGCTCTTTATGCTGTTTTAATTACCACGGTATAGTTATGACATTAACTTCTGCATTTCAGAAACTGTTCAAGTGCCATTATCAAAAAGGGCAAGATTTGTTGGCCCTGGAGGTTATAATTTAAAGAAACTCCAAGCTGAAACTGGTGAGTTACCTTGTTTTAGATATACAGTGTAGATATATCTTTGGAGGTTTGACTAGTCCACAAATGTGATTGAAATGTTTTCTTTTGGAATTGCTAGGCTGGAAGTTGATCATAATGTCAAATTGGAAGATCTAGGATACCAGGCCTGGGCAAACTTTGGCCCTCCAGGTGTTTTGGACTTCAACTCCCACAATTCATAACAGCCTACAGGCTGTTAGGAATTGTGGAAGTTGGAAGTCCAAAACACCTGGAGGGCCGAAGTTTGCCCTTGCCTGTGATAGTTGGTAGCTGGTAGGTGTGGAAATAAATATTGGTTGTTGGTTGGTGGACATTGCAGGTGTAGATTTAGAGGAATGAGTCACATTTATTATACATATTATTATATTTTATAAATATTATAAATATTATAAATATTATAATGTAATGCAAAATAATAATAATAATAATAATATGATAATTATGTTTCTGCATCACTCCTTCTTCTTCTCCTACTACTAGTAGTAGGTATGGTGTCAGAATGCTGACTCACAACAATATATTTATATTACATGTATTTATTATTTCTCGTGTCAGGGCAGCCAGTCAATTATATTACATTTCTAACAGAACAAAGCAAACAAACATAGAAAATACAAAATGTGTGAGTTTGGTAGTTGATTAAATGTCCTTTGACCAGTATCTGGCCACTTGGAGTGCTTCTGGTGTTGCTGCAAGAAGGTCCTCCATTGTGCATGTGGTTGGGCTCAGGGTGCTTTGCAGCAGGTGGTCAGTGGTTTGCTCCTTTCCACACTCGCATGTCGAGGATTCCACTTTGTAGCCCCATTTCTGAAGGTTGGCTCTGCATCTCGTGGTGCCAGAGCACAATCTGTTCAGCGCCTTCCAAGTCGCCCAGTCCTCTGTGTGCCCAGGGGGGAGTCTCTCATTTGGTATCAGCCATTGGTTGAGGTTCTGGGTTTGAGCCTGCCATTTTTGGACTCTCGCTTGCTGAGGCGTTCCAGCGAGTGTCTCTGTAGATCTTAGAAAACTATGTCTGGATTTAAGTCGTTGACGTGCTGGCTGATACCCAAACAGGGGATGAGCTGGAGATGTCTCTGCCTTGGTCCTTTCACTATTGGCAGCTACTTCCCGGCGGATGTCAGGTGGTGCAATACCGGCTAAGCAGTGTAATTTCTCCAGTGGTGTAGGGTGCAGACACCCTGTGATAATGCGGCATGTCTCATTAAGAGCCACATCCACTGTTTTAGTGGTGAGATGTGTTCCACACTGGGCATGCATACTCAGCAGCAGAGTAGCACAGCGCAAGGGCAGATGTCTTCACTGTGTCTGGTTGTGATCCCCAGGTTGTGCCAGTCAGCTTTCGTATGATATTGTTTCTAGCACCCACTTTTTGCTTGATGTTCAGGCAATGCTTCTTGTAGGTAAAAGCGTGGTCCAGAGTGACTTCCATTGATTGTGATGTATAATTGATTGTTTTAATCTATATATATAAATTTGTTAGGGGCATCCAACGAGGAAACAAAACTCAAAAACCCCCCAACGAAACTTAACCAAAATTCCCATGCCCATAACACAACCCACAAGGTACAAACATATCTACTCAAAATGAAAAACAACACAACAACACACTCACAAAACGGCAAAACAACAAAACTCAAAAACCCCAACGAAACTTAACCAAAATTCCCATGCCCATAACACAACCCACAAGGTACAAACATATCTACTCAAAATGAAAAACAACACAACAACACACTCACAAAATGGCAAAACAACTGAGCATGTGCATTGGCGCCCAGCCGCAAGTTCCCTGGCGCGCGCATACGGCCTTCCGGCCAACGTTCCCTCTGCCGCCGCACACACACACGCAACCCCACGCTTATCACTCCCCCCGCCGCCGCACACACACACACATCCCCACGCTCCATCACTCCCCCCGCCGCCGCACACACAAACGCAACCTCACTCCCCCGCCGCACACACACACACGCAACCCCACCTCCATCACTCCCCCCGCCGCCGCACACACACACGCAACCCCATGCTACATCACTCCCCCCGCCGCACACACACACGCAACCCCACGCTCCATCACTCCCCCCCCGCGCACACACACAGCAACCCCACTCCCCCCGCCCGCACACACACACGCCACCCCACACTCCATCACTCCCCCCGCCGCCGCACACACACACGCAACCCCACGCTCCATCACTCCCCCCGCCGCCGCACACACACACGCAACCCCACGCTCCATCACTCCCCTGCCCCAATCTTACCTCCTTTTACTTCACGCCACCTCCAAACCCCACCCCGCCCCTTCCTGCCCTGTTCTAGGAAAGACAGGAAGGAAGGAAAGAAGGAAGAAAGAGAAAGGGAGGTAAAGAAAAAGGGGGGAAGGAAGGAAAGTTAGAGAAATAAGGAAGAAGGAAAGGAAAGAAAAGGAAAGATGGAAGGAAAGAAAAGAGAGACAGCAGAAGAGAAAGAAAAGGGGGAAGGAAGGAAAGAGGTAGAGAAGGAAGAAATGAGAGACAGAGGGAGGGAAAGAAAAAGGGGGAAGGAAGGAAGGAGAGAAGGAAAGAAAAAAGGGAATGAAGGAAGGAAAGAGGGAGTGAAGGAAGGGCGAAGATGTAGAGAAAGAGGGAGGGAAGGAAAGAAGAAAGAGAGAAGGAAGAAAAGAGACCAGAAGAGAAAGAAAAAAGGGGGAGGGAAGGAAGGAGAGAAGGAAAGAAAAAAGGGAATGAAGGAAGGAAAGAGGGAGTGAAGGAAGGGGGAAGATGTAGAGAAAGAGGGAGGGAAGGAAAAGAAGGAAAGAGAGAAGGAAGAAAAGAGACCAGAAGAGAAAGAAAAAAGGGGAAGGAAGGAAAGAGATAGAGAAAGAAGAGGAGAAGGAAAGATGGGAAGGAAGGAAGGAGGGAGGGAAAGAAGGAGAGAAAGAGGGAAGATTGGCCACAGCAACAAGTGGCGGGTAAAGGTTGTTTCTTCCTCGTGTAGTCTGTGAAATGCGCACTAATGGGTTTCTGTGCGCATGCGCAGTGATTTCGGAATATTCTCGATGAAAAGAATTTAGGCGGGAGTCCCGCCCACCCTCCCAATGGTATAAGAGATAGTAGGCGGAGCTCCGCTTCAGTTCTTCTTTCCGCGCGACAGCAGAAGCATTTCGGATTCTTTCTCCTCCTTCTTACTTACCTCAATCCTTATTGACCCGGACTGCATTTCGACAACTCTTCCTTCTCCTTCCCTGACAACGGAACGGCAACGGACAGGCTAGCATGTCGACCCTTTCCTTTAAAAAATGTTCGGCTTGTGGAGCAAACCTCCCAGAAGCCGACAGACACACCAAGTGTCTATTGTGCCTGGGGGAGTCTCATAATCGCTCGGCCTGCGAGATTTGCAAGGCCTTTACATCCCGAGCCCAAAAGAGCAGAGACTCCCGCCTAAAAGCTCTTCTGTATGAGCAGGCACTGGCCCCTGAAGAGACTCGCCAAGCCGCGCTAAGTCTCTCTCAACAGCCTACGCCCTCCCCTCTCTCCGGAGAGCGGCCGGGCCCCTCCTCTACCCAGCTGGAAGAAAGCCATGGGGCGCAAACTCCTCCCCCTGGGGAGGAACCGCCGACGAAGAGACCCAAAGTCTCCAAACCAGCCGCTCATAAGAGCAAGGCAAAAKATAAACAAAATAAGAAAAAGGGACRGCAACTCTCTGGCGTGCAGCCCCTGAGTCCTCCCCTTTCGGTTCCGCCGGCTCAGCTGCTCGACCTCCCGCAGCAACAGATGCCGCCGCATTTTTTGGAACTGCAAGAGCCTCCTGAGCTCCTTCCGATCGAGCTTTTGAACTCTGAGCTCGATCCTAGCCTTCCTACCTCCCCCCCYCTTCCTCCAGCCGGCTCAACCCTCTAGGGAACATACCCCTTCCCCGGTACCGACCCCTCCCACTCCACAAACAGATCATGCCCAACCTCGACCAAGCCGCGCCTCCAGGCGCCGGTCCCGATCTCCCTCTCGGTCCCGATCCCGGTCCCGCAGTCCCYCCTCYTCCAAACGCCCGCGCGGACATGATCCGCGCTCCCCTTATCCCTTTGACTACCCTTTCCCTCTTTATCCTCCTCCTCCCTTCCCATATTACCCTTACTACCAAGGGGAATACCCCAAAGAGTACACTCCTCCTCCATATCCTTATCCTTACTTTCGCCCCCCTCCTTCTGCTACCATTTCCAAGCCTCCTCCTGAACCTCCCGTTCCTCAACACCAGGTGGCAGCACCTCCAGACCCTTCCACTCCTCAACAGGATTCCCATCCTGAGATAGATACTGTTGACTTGGAATCATCGGGTGATCCACAACCCATCCCTGCTCTTCAACCCGAGCCAGACCCAGACCCCATACAAGCGGAAGAGTTTAAAAACTTTTCTGCATTGCTCATTAGACTCTCCAGATCACTGAATCTAGCCATTCCCCAGCCCACTAAGGCTGTGGAGGACCCATGTTTTACTTCATCTGAACAACAGCGACCCATGTCGACCATACTGCCCACTTTACCTTACCTTCTACAAGTTTTAAAAACAGAAGGTGTCTCTCCAGCCCTGGTTCCAGCCACACCAAAGCGAGCTGAGAACCTTTATCGCATTGACCTCACAGCAGCTTCATGGCTTGCCAAACTGCCCAAAGCCAACTCAGTTGTTACAGACGCCCAGCCCAAACCAGTTCAGAGGAACCAGGCCTCACCCTCGGATAAAGAAGGAAAGAAACTAGATGCCATGGCAAAAAAGTTTTATTCCTCTGCTTGCCTCTTCGCCAGAATGGCGCATTATGGCGTTTACATGAGTGTGTATCAGACGTTCCTCTGGAACAAAATTTTACCTTATCTTGATCTCTTACCAGTGGCTGACCAAGCAATGGCGAAAGCCTTTGCTCAAGAGGCACTCCTCCTTTCTAAGCTCCAAAAGGACTTGGCAAAAAACACAGCTGATACATCCGGCAAACTCATTGCCGGGGCAGTGGCCTTGAGACGTCATGCATGGCTCAGGGCTTCCACCCTTTCTCCTTCAGCTCGCACACTGATTGAAGATCTTCCTATGGATGAAACAGGATTGTTTAATCCAGAAACAGATTCCCAGCTTAAACACTCCCATGAGATGAAACAAACGGTCAATAAATATGACCAACAACCTTACCAACAGAGACAACGATGGGGTAATTACTATCATTACCCTACCTATCATAGAGGCCGCTACAACCCTCACTCATACAGAGGGAAACAACGCCCTCACCCTTCCTCTACCACCACTGGGAAGCCGCCTGTCCCCTTTAAGGGTCAGTATCGGGGCACTAAACCACCAGATAACAAAAAACGGCGTTTTTAGCCCCCCTCCTTCCCCTATCTTAAATCCACCTGTTCTTCCCCCACCCCCCACACACTCTACACCCACATTACCTTCATACCACAACAGACTCCATCCATACTTACCTGCTTGGCAGTCCATAACCAATGACACTTGGGTCCTCCGCATAGTTGAAGAAGGCTACGCCATTGAATTCGATTCTCTCCCCCCACTGGGAAGAATCCTACCAACTCAATCCTCTCCCATGCTTTGGGATGAGATCCTCTCCCTTTTGGAAAAAGGGGCAATCTCACCTGTACATCCCGAACTAGCTCACACTTGCTTTTTCTCCCGCTACTTCTTAGTAGATAAGAGGGACGGAGGCCAGCGCCCCATCCTGGACCTCCGTGGCATTAACAAATTCATTTCACCACGCAAATTCCGCATGGTCACACTAGCCAACATCCTTCCTTTCATCACAAACGGAGCTTGGCTCGCCAAGGTCAACCTCAGAGATGCATACTTCCACATCTCAATTAGACAGAGCCATCGCAGATACCTCTGCTTTGCGCTGGACAACCACATTTTTTCCTTCTCCGTATTACCCTTTGGTCTCTCCTCCGCCCCCAGGGTTTTCACAAAATGCATGGCAGTAGTGGCTGCTCACCTACGCCAAAACGGCGTAACGGTTTTTCCATACATAGATGATTGGCTTTTTTCGGCAAAATCTCGTTCCCAACTCCTTTCTGACATCTCCTTCACCTTGTCTCTCCTACAGGAACTTGGACTTGTCGTAAATCTCGACAAATCCCACCTCATACCTACCCAGCGCATCCATTTTATTGGTGCCCTGATAGACTCCATATCCCAACGGGCTTACCTCCCAGAAGACCGGTTCTCCAATCTCTGCCAAGCCATCAACAGCCTTTATTCTTCAGGCCGCTCCTCTGCATGGGCTATCCAGTCCATACTTGGCCACATGGCGTCCACCACAAGTGTGACCCCGTTCGCCCGACTCCGCCTCCGACCACTCCAATCCTGGTTTCTGGGAGTGTTCAATCCCATTCACGATCCGCAATCCATGATCCTCCACCCTCCCGCTCAGGTCCTCCGCTCCCTCCTATGGTGGACAAAGAAATCCAATGTATGCTCGGGTCTCCCATTCACACCCCCCCGCCCGTCTCTGTCGCTAACGACAGACGCCTCCTCCTTCGGCTGGGGAGCTCACCTCCACGACCTGACGATCAGCGGCCGCTGGTCTCACTGGGAACTACAACTCCACATCAATGCACTGGAGTTACTGGCTGTGGGGAAAGCCCTCCGGGCATTTGCTCACCTAGTCTCCAACCGCACCGTCCAGATAGTCACAGACAACACGTCAGTAAAATTTTACCTCAACAAACAAGGGGGAACCCACTCCCCAACCCTCCTGTCCATAACATCCGAGATTTGGGAGTGGTGCATCCAAAGGAACATATTCCTCACTGCAATCCACCTCCCGGGGAAAGACAATACCCTGGCAGACTCTCTCAGCAGGACTCCAACCACTACTCACGAGTGGCACTTACACCCCAGGGAATTCAACCTTCTGACCCGTCACTGGGGCCATCCTCAAGTAGACATGTTTGCTTCTCCAGACAACACACAGTGCACACTTTTTTGCGCAAGGCTCCACCCTCACGCATTCCCAGGCTGCTTAGGAGATGCCTTCCTCTTTCAGTGGTCCCAAGGGTTCCTCTACATCTTTCCCCCACTTCCTCTGCTCTCCAGAGTAGTAGCGAAGATCATCAGGGACAAAGCAAACTGCATTCTGATAGCTCCATGGTGGCCCAGGCAACCGTGGTTTGCTCCTCTCCTTCACGCATCACGAAGAACCTTTCTTCGTCTGCGATCCAGCCCGGATCTCCTCACTATACAAGACGGACGGATCTGCCATCCAGATCTCCCAACTCTACGCCTCACGGCGTGGAGGATCAGACTATGAGCCACTTCTCTGAGGCCGCACGGCTCATCATCCAAGCAGCTCAAAAGACTTCCACCAAGAGATCCTATACCTATAAATGGTCAAAATTCAAGTCTTTCACTCACCCCTTGGGCTTTGAGCCTGTACAGCCCCAGTTCATATTGTTCTAGATTTTCTAGTTCACCTTTCTTCCCGGGGTTTTTCCTTATCCTCAATCAAGTGCTATCTCGCAGCACTCTCCTGGTATAGGAGAAAATCGGGACTACCGTCCCTCTTTCAAGATCCGTTAATTCAGTTATTCGTTAAAGGTTATAAAAATGTTCATCCCCCAGTTTCCCCCCCACCCCCGGCTTGGAGCCTTGAGTTTGTATTGTCTCAACTTTCCAAACCTCCCTTTGAACCTATGGCTTCCTGTGACATTTCCCATCTCTCCTGGAAGACGGCGTTCTTAGTGACCATTACTTCCGCAAGGAGGGCCAGTGAACTCGCAGCTCTCCGTTCAGACCCTCCCTTTATTAGGTTCCATGAAGACAAAGTGGTCCTTCGGACCGACATTACCTTCCTTCCCAAAGTTGTATCTAAGTTCCACATGTCCCAAGACATCACTCTCCCTGCCTTTTTTCCAAAACCTTCCTCTCCCCTGGAAGTTGCACTCCACTCGCTGGATGTCAAGAGGGCCCTCTCCTTCTACATCTCCAGGACAGCCTCCTATAGGAAATCCCCAAGACTTTTCCTAAAATACCGGAAAGACACCTTGGGCTCTCCAGTAACATCTCAAAGGCTCTCATCATGGATAGTGTCCACAATTCGCCTAGCTTACAGTTTGGCAAATAAGGAGCCTCCTCCAACTATCCATGCTCACTCCACGAGGTCTCTTTCAACATCTCAAGCCTTCCTCCATGGTGTCTCAGTCCACGACATCTGCAAAGCAGCAACATGGACAACACCTTCCACCTTTGCCTCTCACTACAAGCTCGACATCCTCGCCAAGAGAGATGCGGCCTTCGGCAGAGCAGTTCTCTTCTCATGTGTGGCATGACCCACCTCCAGGTTGGTAGCTTTCTAGTCACCCAACATGTGCGCATTTCACAGACTACACAAAGAAGAAATATAGGTTGCTTACCAGTAAACGTATTTCTTCAAGTGTCAGTCTGTGAAATTCGCACATCCCCTCCCATCCTCCCCTCTGATGTCATGCCTCTTTTCCTGGCTGCTGTCTGGCGGCAAGGAACTGAAGCGGAGCTCCGCCTACTATCTCTTATACCATTGGGAGGGTGGGCGGGACTCCCGCCTAAATTCTTTTCATCGAGAATATTCCGAAATCACTGCGCATGCGCACAGAAACCCATTAGTGCGGATTTCACAGACTATCACTGGAAGAAATACGTTTACAGGTAAGCAACCTATATTTACTGCAGGGGAGAGTTATTGTTACAGATTTTTAATAATGGAATTGAATGTGATAAATGTGACACTTTTCTTCAGGATTTTCTAATTTTCTTCCAGAAAACGGCACCCT